CATAATCAACAACATTCTTACAGTTGACACCATGATGAATTTCATATAACTGTTTTGTAGAGTGTCCTGCAATGCTGACCACTGGCTTCAAACTGGAGAGAGATTCTAGGGAGATATAAGGAAAATATTGCACAGGTGGTCTTTGCTACGTGCTTGCCTGACTTCACTCTGGGGGTACATTTTAAAAGATCCGAGGAAGTGATAAAGAGCAAATCTTAAAAATAAATTTTTTTGGACGTTTATTCATTTTTTGAGAGACAGAGCATGAGTAGGGGAGAGAGAGAGAGGGAGACACAGAATCTGAAGCAGGCTCCAGGCTCTGAGCTGTCAGCACAGACCCCGACTCGGGGCTCAAACTCACAAATCATGCGATCATGGCCTGAGCCAAAGGTAGATGCTTAACCGACTAAGCCACCCAGGTGCCCCTAAAGAACAAATTCTTAATGTTTCTTTATAAATAGTGTGTTTCAGGGGCGCCTGGGTGATTCAGTCAGTCAAGCATCTGACTCTTGGTTTCAGCTCATGTCATGATCTTGTGGTTTCATGCGTATGAGCCCTGTGTTGTGCTCTGCGCTGGCAGCATGGAGCCTGCTTGGGATTCTCTCTCTTTCTCTCTCTCTCTGCCACTCCCCCACTTGCTTTGTCTCTGTCTCTGTCAAAATAAACTTAAAAATAAACAAATAAATAAGTAAATGAATAAATACTGTGCTTCAGTCAAATGCATAGCTGACAGACATTAAGTAGCTGGGAGTTCAATCCCAGATAACCTAACCTGAAGTTCAGGTAGGAAATCTAGGGATCTAGGAAAAAAAGCAGGCTCAATTGGATATTGAGCTAATGTAGGAGCAACATTTTGGGGGGAAATTTAAGAGTCTAATAATAACTATTTTCTGATGGAATACTATAGAGCTTAGCTAAGAGTCTCTTTAGGGGGGAAAACTTGGAATATGCACTATCACACAGACAGATGGGCCATTAGGTTTCAAATTTCTGCTCAGTATAACCTGGTCTTAATTAATATGAGTCTGGAAAATGTGAAAAGAAGGCATAACTTAACATAGTGGCCATTAATCCCCACCTCCCAAGTCTAAAAAAAGCATCCATAGAAAGCCTAGCTTTGAGTGCTGTGATTTCCTGATGTTCTTCCAAGTTAAATTATTTGAGTAATGTTCATCAAGGTAGCTGAATGAAGTGACCTTCTGTATAGAATTAATCAGGAAGCAACTGAAGTTTGGAAAAATATCTTGTTTTTTCTAAACTTTAAGAGTCCTATATATACTCAGGATATTACTTTTTTCTCAAATGTTCATGTTCAACAATTTTCCAGCTTGTATTTTTTCTATTTATGACTTCTGGTATATTGATTTTAAATTTTTATGTAATGGGATGTAGCCATTCTGGTTTTCCCTTTCGCTTTATTCTTAATGGATCTTTTCTCATCTTGAGATATTCACTGACATTTTCTACTTCTTTTATGTCTTTAAACCCATTACTCATCTTAAGTGTCTTTTGGTATGGAGAGTAAGAATGGGAGTCTACTGTCCCCATCCCCATTGTTAAGCAATTCTTGGGACTATCTAAAGAATATTTGTACCTTTCTCTCGTAAAGTAAAAATCAAACTGTAACATTATTCTAGTATGTCCTGGATTAAAATGTTTCTGTGCTTGCTATTCTGTCATTAATCTATATATTCTTGCATCTACTATTCCACACCGATGTGACTGTAACTTAATAATATGTCTAAATACCCAATTGTTTGAGTCCTACCCTTTTCATTAGTCTATTTAAATTTTTTTCTTATTCTTGCCCATGTATTACTTCTTTACAGTTTCCATTTTAAATTTTGTAGTCTCTGAGAAGGGGCTCCAGCTCCATGTCCCTTGTGCATGTGTATGTTTTAAAAATGCTGGGCCCCTCAGACTTCAACTAAATGTTTTTCCATCACTTTTTCCCTCCCAGTGATAGTGTCCTGAGGTGAGGATGACATGGAAGGAGGCAAGGAAAAGAAAAGATGGGTTCTTAGTTCTAGTTTTCTCTTTCAATGCCAGGGATGGCTGTCACTGTTTTTCTCCCAAATTACCTTGGAAAAGCACATCTTGCCTCTCCAAATATTAGTTATCTTCTGAAACCGATCTCACGTAGTCTCAGAGAAGAGAATCTATTCCTTTTACTAGCACAGCTTTGACCCAATGACTTGTCAAATAAAACAAACCAAAACAAAAAACCACAACTGGCTTAGTTATGAAAAACTATAGTCAAAAATCAAGTACTTACTGAGACTAGAAGCTATAAAGAGGGTGAAGAATTACAAAAAACAAACAAACAAACAAAAAAAAACCAAAAAACCCTGCCAGATACAGAATCAAGCTTTATTTTTACTGTAGGATAAGCCTTTAAATATAGCAAACATTTAAAATATTGGAGATATTGGAGATATTTAAAATATTGGAGATATCTGGGTGGCTAAGTCAGTTAAGCGTCTGACTTTGGCTCAGGTCATGATCTCACAGTTCGTGGGTTTGAGCCCCATGTTGGGCTCTGTGCTAATAGCCCAGAGCCTAGAGTCTGCTTCACATTCTGTCTGTCTGTCTGTCTCTCTCTCTGCCCCTCCCCAGCTCATGCTCTGTCTCTGTCTCTCAAAAATAAATAAACGTTAAAAATAAAATTTAAAGGGGCGCCTGGGTGGTGCAGTCGGTTAAGCGTCCGACTTCAGCCAGGTCACGATCTCGCGGTCCGTGAGTTCGAGCCCCGCGTCAGGCTCTGGGCTGATGGCTCAGAGCCTGGAGCCTGTTTCCCATTCTGTGTCTCCCTCTCTTTCTGCCCCTCCCCCGTTCATGCTCTGACTATGTCCCAAAAATAAATAAACGTTGAAAAAAAAATTAAAAAAAATAAATAAAATTTAAATTTAAAAAAATATTGTTGATGTTTTAAATTTGAAAATAAAAAATAAAGGGAAAATATATTTTAAAAAAATTTTTAAAGATTTTTAAAAAATGTTTATTTTTGAGAGAGAGGAAGAGTGCAAGAGAGGGGCAGAGAGTGGGTGGGGACAGAGGATCCAAAGCAGGTTCTGTGCTGATAGCACAGAGCCTGATACGGGGCTGGAACCCACGAACCATGAGATCATGACCTGAGCTTAAGTCAGATGCTTAACCACCTGAGCCATCCAGGCACCCCCAGAGAAAATAAATTCAACCAGGACATTTTTCTTTCTTGGGATAAGAATCTTGATACTATCTTTTTACTAAGATGTATAATGTCAGATTTTTCACTGTGTTACTCAGTACAATTTTACCTTTGAATCTTTTAAAGACAAGGGGTATGTGATTTCATTCAGTTTTATAGTCTCCCAAATGCATCATAATTGTTACTTTTGAACATGGACAAAATGTCTGCATAATAATTTTTATATCTTAAGGCAATTATTCCTAATGTATATGTATAATTCAGGTTTTCCAATTTTGTCATATGCAGGTTCTGGTACCATATTAAATGGCAGTCGTATAACTTCGACTTGTGTCTCCTCAATTTCACTCTATTAATATTGAAAAGGTAAAACAAATAGTATTATAAAATTTTTGTAAGATTTAAAACCAGAAAAGAGGGGCGCCTGGGTGGCGCAGTCGGTTAAGCGTCCGACTTCAGCCAGGTCACGATCTCGCGGTCCGGGAGTTCGAGCCCCGCGTCAGGCTCTGGGCTGATGGCTCGGAGCCTGGAGCCTGTTTCCCATTCTGTGTCTCCCTCTCTCTCTGCCCCTCCCCCGTTCATGCTCTGTCTCTCTCTGTCCCAAAAATAAATAAACATTGAAAAAAAAATTAAAACCAGAAAAGAATTTCTAGAATTCAGTCTTCAACCTCATAATTTCGAGAATGTAGTTGTCACTGTTTTTTCTCTGGAAACAATTTTTAACAAGAAAATGACCCAGAATACACCTTGCCAAATAAGTTTCCCCAAATCACAATTATCTTAAGAATGAACAGATTAAGTTGTATATTTACACAGTCAGCCTTAAAAGTCTTTGCAGAGAAGATGAGCTGATGAGATGGGTTGAACTGCCAATCAAGATCATCGATCTTTAGTCTAGTCTTTGTAGTTAAGCTAACAGAGTCATTTTCCCTTGAATGAGGTGAAGAATTAAATTCCTTTCAATAGTTCCAAACTTTCTAGGTACAATGCTACCCAATCTCCTGTAAAACAGCCAACTCCCATGTGGTACACTCAATTTACTAAGCAAAACATTAACTTGTCTAAGCCATGGAACACATCCAGTTTGTGAAATGACTGAGTCTCAAATGTATTCTCTTTTAAGATTTTACCATAAAGTCATTCCCAGGGAATGAAATGAGTGGGCCTAAGTTCTGTGTCCTTTTGAAATAACACCAATTTCACTTGCATTTTGTAAGTCCATGGGTCATGACAATAGCATTGTTATCATACTTATTAATTATAACCTTTACTAATGTTAATATTAGCCGATATTGAACTTTAAGATTTTTTTTCAATACAATTTATCAATAATGAACCTGACATAGGTATGTTTCTGAGTCACTTGGTAACCTTAGATTTTCTCTGAAAGCACAAACAAATATAACTAAGTAGGTGGTACTGTTGATACCTGGGCTCTTAACTTCAATAGAAAATATCACAAATTAACTTCAAAAATTTTTCTATAAGTTCGCAACTACATCTCAATATACTGAGGAAGATAAGAGTTCTCCCAGTTAGCCTTCTACTTTCAAAAGCATATTTCTTTTTGGCATGTAATTTCTGCTTATTTCTTTTGGCATGTAATTTCTGCTACATTCAGTGGACATGCTTTTAAAACTTACCATCTGTTAAATGTTTTGATGCAGTTTTTTCACTTCATATACATCTGAATTTCACAGCATTATTATTTCTACATTTTTCATTTACAATCAAGTCCTGTTGAAATAAATTAATTCATTAATCTGATTTTATTCATACTGGCACTCACATATACGTTTCTGTGTACTGGCAGTGGTTTTTGGTATAGTTTATTTCATAATGGTTTTTTATGTTGCATTCTGTGACATAGTTACATTTTGCCTATTAAACAGAGAGGAATATTTTTGACTTCCACAAAAAGCACAATCTCTCTTTCTTTTGAAAATACATGGCTTTCTTGGTTTATCTTTTCATTTCCCTACTTCCAATAGAGATGAGTCCAAAGAAATAATTCTCTACTACAAGACAGATAATAGTGTAAGTGCAATGGCAAATGGCAATTGACACCTGGCCCCAGCATAAAGCAAGAAAATGAATGGGAAGACCCACAGTGAGTAAAAGACTTATGGTCTACATGGTATGGCTGGTGCTCAGCTCTGCAGATACGGTCACTATTTGCCTGCCTGCATGAGTGAGTTGCATTTTTATAACATTATGCAAATCGACATTCTAATAGCCAAATAGAGTATATCTCAGCCTCTTGTCCAAATCACTAAGGAAAAGTTTTTTCCCAGCTGCCTTATCATTTGCAGGGCAGCCTACCTGCCTCGAATGGGATTCGTACTTGACACCATTTTTTGCAGCACTCACTCATTAATTAATCCAGCAAATAATTGAGAGAGGCATTGTTCTAAGAGTTGACAATACCACAGTAAATAAACTAGAACAACCCGTCCTCAGAAAAGTCATGTGCTAATGGGGAGAAGTGGAAAATTAAAAAATAGTTAAGTAAAAGGCATAAGTATGTCATGAGTATGGGGAAAAAGTGAAGTCATTATAATATTCCAGGAAAGTGCTGGTGGGTTTTGAAGCAGGGTGATCCCATTGGAGGTGATGAAGGTGATTGAATTACTGAATGACGGATACATTTTGACAAGATTTACTAAAATATAAGATGTTAAGGTGTAAGAAAAAAGGAGTCAAAATTTTTTATTTGGGCAAGTTGAAGCATGTAGTCACCATTTACTGAGAAGAGAAAGATGGTGGTGTTTTTGTTTGTGGCCAGTAGTGGGGAAGCTTAGCTTTGTTTTAGACTTGCTAAGTTTGATATGTGTTTTAGATATTCAAACGGAGATGTTGAACAGGCAGTTGAACATATCTGAAGTTATAAATTTGCTAGTCATCAGAATATAGATAATAAAGTCATGTGACTAGGTGATAATCACTTAAGACGTGAGTATGGATGTCTGAGGTCTGAGCTTTGGGGAACTGCAGTTTAGAGGCTGAGGGTGTGAAGAGAGGACTCAGGGAACAAGCTTGGAGGAATGGCTCGTGAGGAGAGGAGAAAACAGGAAACGATGGTGTCCTGGAAGCATAGTGAAGATGGTTGAAAAGGGAGGTAGTAAATCACCTGTGTCAAATACTGCCTATATAGGTCAAGTAGGGTGAAGACTGAAAATTGATCATTGCATTTAGCAATATGGATAGGTTCTTGTTGATCTTGACAAGAGCAGTTTGGGCTGGTAGAAATAAACACGGCAGTAGCTTTGGGAACACAAGAGATTAAGAGGAGTTTGTTTTTAAGTTGGGAGAAATAAAGCCAGAATCCTTCAGCTGATGGTCAAGACTTTTTAATCTACTTCGTGTATGGCACCTTACTATACCACCTTGACCCTGGAGTTGCAACCTTACTGAAGAAATGACAAAATAATGGGAGTAGGTAATTAGTGCTAGAACAGTTTAAAAAAATAAGATAAAGAAAGTATTGTTTTCACAGAGATGGTGGAATTTAAATTCGTCAATTCTTAATTCTTAGAATTCTTAAAATAAGTTGGATTTAGGTAGATGAAAAGAGAACAAAAGAATAGTATGATATTTGGGGAACAGTTAAGACTAGCCTGGCTGGAATTCATATTAAGAAGAGATGGGATGATAAACATGGAGAACTTTTACCATCAAGCTAAATTCCAGCTTTGTTATTTCGGCAATGGAGATTATAAGAAATAATCCATCTGCGGTAGCTGTAGAATTAAAAAATAAAATCTTGTTAATAGTTTTCTTTTTAGTGACTATCAGAAAATTGTCTTAGATGCTTTCTAAATGAAAAGTAAAAGCTAATAAAGTTAGCTGAATTTTAAAATATTGTAATAATTACTTTTAAGCATGAAGATTTCGCCCTATGCAAGACAGAAATACCTCTAGGTAACCACAAATTTCCTTTTAAAATATTGATCTGTCCCATTTTTATGCTCTGAAATGGTATTTTAAAGCTATTTTGTAAATAATAAATAAGTTAAACAAATCATTTCTAATTAAACCATTAGCTCATAATATCACCTCTACTTTTGGAAAAGTCTCTTGCTTATATTACCTTATTGATCTTTAATTTTTTTTAACTTTTTTTTTTTAATGCTTATTTTTGAGAGAGAGAGAGTGCACGAGCAGTAGAGGGGCAGGGACAGAAGGGGACAGAGGATCTGAAGCAGGCTCTGTGCTGACAGCATTAAGCCCCATGAGGGGCTCAAACTCATGAACCATGAGATTGTGACCTGAGCCGAAGTCAGATGCTTAACTGGCTGAGCCACCCAGAAGCCCCTATGGATCTAACTTTTAAAAAAAATAGAAAATACTTCTAATTTATACAAGAAATTAAGAGGAGTTTCATTAAGAGACAAATATAGACTTAATGGAGATTTTCAAATTTATCTTGTCTTCACCAATCCTCAAAATCACCCTAAATAAAACCAAACTTAGCATTTGGAATTTTTGAAGTAGTTGTCAGGATCAGTTCTGCAGATAACTACCCAAGTTACTTTATTTTTACAAAAGGGAAACTGTTAGGTTGAACCATATGCTAGCATATTAGTATTTTAATACAGTGCAGCATAAAAATTCCAACTTGGCTCTTTGTTATAAGTCCACATATAAAGCAGAAGAGACAATTTAAGGGAACGAGGCATTGTCCTAAAACTTGCATTCTCTGAAGAACTGGCTTTTATTGAGGATCTATCACATGAAGGTTATGCCCTTAGTCTTATATTTATTTAGCCTTAATGTTTATAATCTAGTAAGAAAAATTAAATATAAACAATGACAGATATGGTTATTATTAAAATTAACTTTACAAAGCTTACAAGCTTCCTGTGATAACATTTGAAATAATGCAGCATTTGTGGGGGAAAAATTCACTCACCTTAAAAATTTTAACTGGCTATTTATCTTAGAATGGAATGGTAGGGTATAAATGTTATTTCATATCAGTACCTAAAGGAAACAATTGGATCTATCTAGCTGATAGGTACAGTGAATGGTTTTTGGTCAAGGCTCTGAATTTAATGCTTTTTTTGGCTATCCATAAAAATGGGAAGGTTTGGCAAAGGAAATGGGGAAGGATTGCAGTAGATTTGAGTCAACCAAGTATCTTTTGGGCCCAGATGGTAGATTTCTCAGTGTGATTTATATTACAGACAATCTGAGTTTAGAGAACCTCCATGGTTTTATCTCAATTTTAGTGTGTTGAAATATTCTGTTAAGGGGCGCCTGGGTGGCTCAGTCGGTTAAGCGTCCGACTTCAGCTCAGGTCACGATCTCGTGGTCTTTGAGTTCGAGCCCCGCGTTGGGCTCTGGGCTGATGGCTCGGAGCCTGGAGCCTGCTTCCGATTCTGTGTCTCCCTCTCTCTCTGCCCCTGCCCCATTCATGCTCTGTCTCTCTCTGTCTCAAAAATAAATAAAACGTTTAAAAAAAAAAAAAAGAAATATTCTGTTAAACATCTTTTTCTGAAGAATGGGATGACAGAGCTATGATAGTCAGAATCTGAATCAATGCAGAAACAGTATTAAAACATATACCATTCATAGATGCTGCCCTTATGGCAATTTTTACCACAATAACCTCTTACCCATAAAGACTCATTAAGAAAATTTAATGTAAATAGAATACGCTTTAATTACAAATGTACTATATTTTAGTTATGATATATAACTATAAATAAAATAAAAGAGTGGGACATATGAAAGGAGAGCATGTGATGAAGAAATAGCTTGCTAGTTAAACTCTATACTTGAGTTCAAATAGGAAGGAAAACATATTCATTGGGTATCATGATTGGAAGACATAAGTGCTTCCAAAAAACAGAGAAATACTGGTCATCTTTCTTTTTCAATTGTTTCATCGGGAAGAATCTTTTTCAGGTGATAAAACTTACAAGCTAAATTAAAATGCACTCTACTCATTGGCAAGCCACACCAGCAAGAATAATGTGATCATGGTGCTTGGAAGTTTTTGATTTATAACTATACTATTCTCTACTTATAAGGCTGAAGTCTAGGAGGCAGAGCAATGAATCATTACAATTGTCTATCTGGGAAATGTCAAAAGATTAAGTAAGGGCAGAAGAAGAGAGAAGAAGAAAGAACACACATTTTTGTCTGAGAATTATTCCACAATTAATGGGAAGATACCACTAGCACATAAATCCAGTGCTGAAGAAATAATAATTAAATTTTTAAAATCTTCAAATAAGGCTACTAATAAAGCATAATGCTTAAACTTCCTGGGTAGAAAAGCAGATTATCCTCTGTGACTCTGAAAACTAAATCATTCCTTACTCAACTGTCACAGTGACCTCTCCCGATACACTAAGAATTTGGGAAAATAAACTTAAGCTGAATAAAATAAATGAATTAGAAATTTGAACCAATCATTAATGGATCCAGATTTAAAAAAAAAAAAAGGACACATACAGTTTAATTGATACTTTGCTGATACAAAAATAAGCATCCACAGAACGTTTATTTACTGTTTAAATTACTCCATATTTTCATATACCATGAACAGAAAATATATTTTATCCCACACACAGTAAGAACAAACAAGTGCAATCTTTCAAACATTAAAAGTTATAATCAAATCTGTACAACAGATAAATAAATTTATACCTCTAACAGTTAGCCTGTAACAAAACAAAATGAAAAACATATATTGCCCGAAGTCACCGGTTTACTTAAAATTCTACTCATGGTTAATACATCTCACTCATAACAACTTGAATTTTTACTACACTGCACAAGTTAGATTGATAAATACTTTAAAAATAGGGGGGAGTAATAGGAAATACCAAAATGATTATAAAGAGCTTTCCAAACGTTGGAAATAGACAGAAATTAATTAGTTGAAGGAAAACATTAAATGGATCCACAGGGTACTGGTTTTACACTGGTACAGCTTCAGGAAAGAAAACATGTGAATGTCTGGATTGAAAAGAAAATTTGGCCTTTTTATAAAAAGAAGCAACAGCATCAACAGTGACAAAACCCTGTCATGGAGCCTAGAACAACTCTGTGAGACAAAGTGTACAAAGATTTAGGTATACCTGAAAAACACAGTTAGGAAGAAAAATCATGTCAGGAAACAGATAACATCAGAACATGAACATACATAAATTAAAGGCATACTGTTTATCATTCCACGTCATTGCACATATGATAAGAAAACAATACTGCAGTCATTCTTGAGTAAGAAAGTTTCGGTGAAGTAGGAAGTTGCATGATAAATACAGGTGTAGACAATCTTATTACCACAAATTTAGTAAATATCAAAACACTCAGTGGTGTCACTAAGCTAATTAAATTATCTATATGTATTTACTGGAAAGGTAATTATTTCCCTGCCTTCATGTTAACTTAAAATCATTTATAAATGGCAACATAGATCCAGTAGAAAATACTTTTCACATGCAATCCTATACAATGCACTCTGCTTCAATTTTTTTTTTCAGTATTTCACATTGGAGATGTACATTTCCAATATATATACAACCACACGTGTTCAACAGACGCCACTGAGCTGTCTTCTTGCCACACAAATTAATTTACATATACATTTATATCTCCAGATAGATACTTTTCTCCTCTAGGCAGACACAAAATCAGTCTGAAGAGTTTAAGTTTTTTAGGATCCTAGGTACCTAATGTCTGGATTTATCTTGAATCGACGATAAGATGAGGAGTCCACAAAAAAATGCAGCTATACATGCCAATCTTTTCAACAGAGATGAGTTATCTTTAGGAATAATAATCTGTGCAAGATCATTAGTGATCTGAGAAATTTCATGTGCCACACAAACAAATATGAAAGTGCTGACAATGATGTTGAGCATAGGGTTTCCGGGTATGAGAACCAAGATGCCTCTTGTGTCCGCTGCCAGCCAGATGTGATACTGGCAAATAAACAGCTGGAAGGAAAGTATCTAAAGTTAGATATGTACAGACGGTCCAGGACTATCTCACAGTTTTGCCTAACTTAAACATTTGGTAGCATCATTACATTAGCAGGCTTTTTCCAAACCATTTAATTCTGTTTCACTCTTGGTCCTGAAAAGTCTACTGTGGTCTACTCTCCAGAACTCCTACTTGCTCAAGTACTACTTCAAAGTCCCCAAGAAATGAAACAGGACCCTTAGAACTTTAAAAAACATTTTTTTTGCATGACATAGAAGACAGCTGACAGAATGATATCTGAACTCTGGTATTTAGACACCAAATAAAGAATCACTACGTGTGTGTCTATGCACATAAGTATATATATGTGCATACTGCATATTTAATTATATTTGTGAACCATATTTCTGTATGTGGATACATGAGCAGGAAATGGCATGGATTTTAAGATGTCTTCAAGTGTGCTTTGAATGGCCAGACAAATGTTTTCAACTGTATTTTCATGATTCCATAGTATATTTCAACTTTGATGTGAGTATACATATTAGATGACACCACTACAACTTTGATTGTGATCACAAATGTTCTCTCATCAAATTGGTTCAAAATATCAAAGAGTAGAAAAATGCTTAAACTACCTCCCAAATATGAGACCATAACATTTCTATATATTTTTTTAATGTTTATTTATTTTTGAGAAAGTGTGTGTGCACACGCACATGTGCAAGCAGAAAGAGAGGGGGACAGAGGATCTGAAGAGGGCTCTGTGCTGACAGCATCGAGCCCAACGTGGGGCTTGAATTCATCCACCATGACATCATGACCTAAGCCAAAGTCAGACACTTAACCAACTGAGCCACCCAGGTGCCCTAAAATTTATTTTTACTAGAAATACCAAATTATAACTTCATTCAATTAAAATTTATACAAACTCTCATACTCCAAGTATTAAGGGGTTGGCAAAATATTCTTTTTATCTACTGAATGACTTGGTAAGTCATTCTCGATTAATAATTCTAAATTCTATTCAGTCTCACTTATGAGACAAAAAAATAATAGAACATTTATTCAAGAACTCAAAAATTTATTTTCCCTATTTTAAAAACAACTTAATAAATCTTATACTCTAAAATGTATCTTCTATGATTACAATATGAATTCCACTGTTTTATTAAAATTTTTTTTTTTCAACGTTTATTTATTTTTGGGACAGAGAGAGACAGAGCATGAACGGGGGAGGGGCAGAGAGAGAGGGAGACACAGAATCGGAAACAGGCTCCAGGCTCTGAGCCATCAGCCCAGAGCCCGACGCGGGGCTCGAACTCCCGGACCGCGAGATCGTGACCTGGCTGAAGTCGGATGCTTAACCGACTGCGCCACCCAGGTGCCCCTGAATTCCACTGTTTTAAAATGTTCTATCTTGGGAGCGCTTGGGTAATTCAGTCAGTTAAACATTCCACTCTTGATTTCAGCTCTGGTCATGATCTCACGGTTCATGAGTTTAAGCCCCATGTTGGGCTCTGGGCTGACAGCGTGCAGCCTGCTTGGGATTCTCTGTCTCCCTCTATCTCTGCCTCTCACCCTGCTCCCTCCCTCCCACTCTCTCTCTCTCTCTCTCTCTCTCTCTCTCTCTCAAATAAATAAATAAACATTTAAGAAAGTAAAATGTTCTACTTTGAATAATAGAGCTCAGAATAGGCAGAATGTATTTTAAAACATACTTTAAGGTTTTAAATAATTCGTATTAGGTACTGCACACAAAATGTAATGAGTTTTAAAAATTTCCCCAAATTTCCAATCACAAAATTTCCTGAATTTTATTAGGATAAGTATTGATAAACTAAATTCTAGTAATATTTAATTATAGAGATGAAGAACAAATCAAAATCCCCTCAGCTTGTCTTCATTCATATCTATTTATAAATTTCATTTATATCTATTTAATTTTTTTCTCTCCTGATCTCAGCATCTTAGTTGTGTTTAAAAGCTTAAAACAATATAAAGAATATTTGAAAGTCATCTATGTCCAGTCATTTAAATACAGCTTTAAAAACATACTATTCTACTGCTGTTGAAAGTTCTGAATTTTGTTTCTATAATGCCATAAATAACATACCTTTGATTTTTTAAAAATGTCTGTTGGATTCACACACACACACAGCCACACACACACCTGCATGTAACACTTAGCTATAGAAGATAGAACAAAATATTAATGTACCAACCTCTAATGAAATTTTTCCAAACCAAGCAAAAAATGAACTATAAACTGAACGGGCATATCCAGGGATATTCCTTATTAGGATGAAGGCTAAAATCTACGGAAAAACCACAAAGGCAAAATAAATAATCTGTTTACTCAAAGTTTTTGCTTTCCGTCAAGTGAGAATTTTATTATCTATGTTCTTGGACTATTTGATACATACACAATGTTTTTTTTCAATAAAGTTTTGGCAAGTCATTTTTGTTCTAGAGTCTGTCCATGTTAAGTTTCTCAACATGTGCTCTGTATGTATACTGCATGCCAGTGCAGAATGTAGGTAGTGCATGGCTGAACAATTTTATGTGTATTTGAAAAATTGTAAACCCACATGAGTCCCTTTGTGTAGAAAGAAATGATATCCTATGTTGTGTAGCAAAATTCATAAAATTTCATGATACAATTTGGCTTCTTCCATAAAGTATCTGCCTGACTGGCAGCCATATGCCTTCCTTTTGCTCTCTTCAAAAGCCTCCTTCCGCTAACAGCCATGTAAAGATGAGAAATGGCAGGACTTTTAAGATGTCCTCATGTTTGCTCTGTATGGCCAGGCAAATGATGCCTTGAACTGCATTCACATGTAATGTATTTTCTCCTTTTGATCTCTTCTCTCCAAAAACAATCTCCAGCTTTTGGGCGCCTGGCCGTCACCTCTCTCCCCCACCCTTCTGTACTAGGTGGAATAATCTTGAATTTTCTAAACTTCTAATTCAGTGTCACACTCAATAACTAGTTTATCAAGCAAAGAGCTCTCTTTAGAATCTACTCTCCTTATAAAGAACAAAGAAATTGTAAGTAAAAATGTTTTCACTTTCACAAACATTTTCTCTCCTAAAACTTCTCTCATAAAAAGATTGAAAGATCTATTTGCACTTCAGAAAAAAAAATACCATATTCAGTGTTGATCATTCTGGGCAACTGGTCAAAGGTTTTAAGAAGAAGCCTCTGCGATGCATACAAGATGAGCAAATAGGAGATCTGTGGGTCCCTCAATCATTGGGAAAAAGGAACCAAAGTGAACTACTCAGGTACTATTAAGTTGAGTGATCTTCATGGGCAATAGCATCAAAGGGACTCAAGTTTGAATCTGGCCTTTCCCTTGTATTAGTTTTGGGATTTAAGGCAAGGTACTTTACTCCCTTAGGTCTGTTTCCTCATTCATATAAATAGGGATATGATTTACTTGGAAGGTTGATGTGAGCATTTGATAAGAAAACACATAAGAGGTACTTATCATAGCATGCACTGTGAGTCATTTAAGAAACATATTAGGTTTAATAGCACAGTTGGTATATGTAATGGTAAAAATCATAAAGGTGAGACCTACACAAAACCCTTGAACATGAAACCATTTAATGAGTTATTATAAAGTACTGCGTAAACTGTAAAATTCTAGGAAGAATGACAATAGATACTTACAAATCACTAGTCTGAGCTCTCAGAAAATCCAGGAATAGTTCTAAGCAAATCACTTTCTTTCTTTCTAACTTTAGAAAGAATGTGTACTTATTTCTTTAGCATATTCCAGTCTGAGTTTTGTCATACACTTACTAAACAATGTGATAAGGGGAATAGAAAATCAAAGAAATAATAGCCATGGAGAAGATAACGGGGGTCTAGGGAGCCATCCTTATTAGCTTTGTAAAGAAATAATAATAATGCTTAAAATTTGTTCAGGATTTATAACTTGTTGGGTACTGTGCTAAGCACTTAATATACATTATTTATGGTTAATCACCTGTATGCTGTTCTATAACAAGCCCTTCTAGAAATTTCTATCCAGATTGATGGGCAAAACTAAAAGGTCAGGATTCTAGGATTGCTCTACAAGAGTGAAACAGATAGAAGGATTGAGAGTATAGAATTGTTGAACAATTATATTATACACCTGAAACTAACATAACACTGTTAATTATACTTGAATTAGAGAAAAAAGGATTTGATATATAAGCCTTCTGCAGGTCAGGCTGGGAAAATACTTTCTAACAGAAAACTAGGAATCTTGTACATGTTAAAATCTTAAGAAGCTCCCTCAGATAAGTATGCTAAAGGTACACATTCTTATATATAATTTTTAAAAACCACAATGTCCTATATACACACATCTAAACCTATACCCTCACACCTACGTTACCCTTTGGCATCTGAAAATAAGAGTGAAGTGTGATAAGGATGTAAAATTTGGGGCTCCCTGGATGATCCAGTTTTTACAGTAGGGGACTGGGTCCCTTGAAAAGAAGTAGCTGCTAATAAAATTAGTACTTGCCTCAATTTATGCTCCCTGTCCATTCTTTTCCTCTGCACCAGAGGGCCTGAGGCCCTCACTGAAAAAGTATTAAGTAAACAGAAGTGTGTAGAGAGTAGTGACCGGAAAGGAAGGCGATAAGGATTAGCAGTGCTTGCCTGTTATTGTATGTGTATCTACTCTTTCCCTTAGCTCTTCTTATATTGTTCTGTATTGGTGCATCATGAACGGTAACACCTCCCTTCCATTATGAGTAACAGAAATGATATCAAATGACATTATGAGTAACAGAAATGATATCAAATATGGTATCACTGGTAAGCACTATTACTGTCTACAGAAGTCGTGAAAATGCCACATGACTACAGCATAATGTTTAAAATTTCATTATCAATTACATTTTAAGAGTCTGTCACATGCTCAATTCTACTGACTATATAGAGGCTTAAAAGGGATAAAATAGTTCCTTGCACTGAAGAGAACTTAAGACCTAAGAGAAGATCCTCTAGAAATGATCCCTGCTCCTCTTTGCTGGACTACTCATTTATTAGGTCATGGCTTAGACACTACTTTCTCTAAGAACCCTGCTCATATACCAAGATAGCTTGAGAAGAAACCCCACATGCTTCCAAAGCTTCCTGTATTTAACCATCACCACACTATCACAATGTCCTATCATCACTGGCAACGGGAGGTATCCCTGCAAAATGTCAATCTGCTTTGAGTTGCCCCTCGCCTCTGCCCACCTCTCAGTCGCTACCAAACACTTCTCTAGACGCTGGCTGAGTTCTAGCCTGAACAACTTTCTGTAAATTTCCTGAATGTCAATTTGCTCCCTTCCATCACAGGGCCTGAGTTCTTGCTGTCCTTTATCCCTCCATTCTCAACTTAATTTTCTTAGGGAAATAATTTCTGACCCCAGACCATGCCTGCTACAACTCCAACTAGGTCATATCCCCTTACTATATTCTCTTGTAGCATCATATGCTACTCTTTATAATTATGTGGTGATTATATGATTACTATCTGTAATAGAAGAATGGAGGCTCTGGGAGGATAGGAACTATGTCTATAATACCCCCAGCATAATATTAGTGCATAGTTATATTTGTTAAATGCATACAAAATGTTAAATGAACGAATATTTACTGGTTCATATCTCTACTAGACCATAAATTCTATGAGGGCAGGAGCTGTATATATCTTAACACTAAACTTCTTACATGTAGCATGGTACTTAACACATTGATAATTAAGATTTAATAAAGAAATATGAGTAAATGAAGACAAAGCAAACATGAGGAGAGTTAACAAGTTCTGAATGCCTACTAAGTGACAAATATTGACAATTTCCATACATTTCACGTAACAACCCTTTAAGAGAAATTTTAAGGTTTCTGTACAGTAAAGGAAGGTAGGGGTTAGGATGATTAAATAATATACCTACATTTTACAGTTTGATCTCAAATCTCTCTGCTTCTAAAGACTGTGTTCTTATCAAGAATTAAGAAAAACATTTTTTTTCCCTAAATCAGGATAATTACCTGCACCACAGATACAGATGGATGGAGTTCATTGCACTCTGCTTTGTTTTTACAACTGCTAGCCCAGATGGAATAGGTCTAAAACAAAAAGAATATATATGGATCAGTTCCTGAAAATACTTATGACTCAATGAAGCAGCTTCCTCATAATCTACACACTTCTTGTTTTGTTTTGTTAATAACATTATGCTCCATTATGTTATTGAAAAAGCCTTAGTGAAAGTTGCCCACAGGTTCGGTCATCACTTATTTTGGTATGCTCAACTGTTAAGTAAAAGAAAGCAGACAGAGAGGAGTACAGGTCTGTGCTCCTCTGGAAATAGTGATCATGAGGCAATGATCACTCTTCCTGTCAAACACCTCACATTTTATTTTTCCCCAAATTTATTACAATTTTACAAATTTCCATTTCACTGAGTCCTCAGTTATTCTTCATATTTAACACATGCATATATACACATACATATATACATTCTCTTAGCATTTATGTTCAATGAGAAGAAAATGGAGAAAAAGGATTTTAAAAGTAAAGATTTATTAAAAATAATTGATTGAATCCCTATCTCTTAATGTTAATATTCTGTATGTACCATTTAGGATTTTGGAAAACTAGAAGATTACACTTTGAAACTTACCAAGAAAGAAACTACTGAAATAAACAATAGAAAATTTGAAATTTTGTTTGAAAAAAGAGGTTCACCCTTTCCTTCAGAAAGTACTTGACGCTTCTGTAAAGCCAGATAAATGAAAGCAAACAACATTCCATGAAAGACTACCTAAAAAATAAGAAGAGAAAATTTGTTTTAAACAGCTAGATTTCAGTAAGTAGCAGAAATAGTTGGAAAATAAGGACAATATATACAAAAGTAAGTAGGTTAAAAGCTTAAAGATTGAATGAAGGTTTTAAACTTCAAGAAATGACATACAATCAAGGATTGTTAGAAACTATCCACAGCTCTTGCAACAATATGAGATAAGCTGGTTCATTTTGAGCAGTCTCAGCCGCAAGTGAAGAAATAAAGAGAAGTTCAAAATAATGATAAAAACACAAGAAAGAAGTGTTGATGAGAATGTGGAAGAAAAGGACCTCTTGTATACTTTGATGGGAATGCAAACTGGTACAGACACTGTGGAAAACAGTATGAATTTTTCTCAAAAAATTAAAAGCAGAACTACCCTGTGATCCCATAATTCCACTACTGGGTATTTATCCAGAGAATACAAAAGCACTAATTTGAAAAGATATATGCAGCCCTATGTTTACTGCAGTATTATTTACAATAGCCAAGATACGGAATTGGCCCAAGTGCCCATTAATAGATGAATGGATAAAGAAGATGTGTGCATATATATATACACACACAATGGAATACTATCCAGACATAAAAAGAATGAAATCTTTTTATGCAATAACATGGATCTAGAGGGTTTAATGCTAAGTGAAATAAGTCATTCAAAGAAAGACAAATATTATATGATTTCATTCATATGTGGAATTTAAGAAATAAAACAAACCAACAAAGAAAAAAGGAGACAAACCAAGAAACAAACTCTTAACTACAAAGAACAAATTGGTGGTCATCAGAGGGGAGGTCGGTGGGGTGACGGGTGAAATAGGTGAAGGGGATTAATAGTACACTTATCATGATAAGCACTGAGTAATGTATAAAATTACTGAATCACTGTATTGTTCACCTTAAACCAATATAACACTATATGTCAACTATACTGGAATTAAACTTTAAAAAAAGAACAACAACAATAATAAACTATTTTGAAGACATATGGTAAAATTTAAATGCTCAACCAAAATAAAACACATTTTATCTTGATACTCTCAATCAAATAAAACAACAATAACATCACCAATATCATGCTTTTAAGAAGGAACATATGCACACAAGAATGGAGGAAAAAATGGTAGACCAGAAAGCACATAAAGCTTCCTTTTTTTTTTTTTAAACAAAGGTTTAAAGTGAACTATCATAGTAGATTGCTCTAATGACTAGGTTGAGAATTTAGAAGTTGGTAGCAAGACTTTAGCAAAGCTTTTTATTTATATGTGGTTTTGAAGTGCAATGTAGTATACTGGAAAGTGCATAGGTATTGGAAACCAGAAATGGCACAAAATAGGCATTAAGAAAACATTTGTTGGGGCACTGGGTAGCTCAGTCAGTCAAGCATCTGACTTCGGCTCAGGTCATGATCTCGCAGTTCATGAGTTTGAGCCCCCTGTCGGGCTCTGTGCTGACAGCTCAGAGCCTGGAGCCTGCTTCAGATTCTGTGTCTCCCTCTCTCTGTGCCCCTCCCCTGCTTTCTCTCTCTCTCTCTCTCTCTCTCTCAAAATAAATAAACATTAAAAATATTTTTTTAAATAAATAAAAAAAAAAGAAAATCTTTGTTGAATGAAAAATAGGGTGAGTGAAGTATGGAAGAAAAAAGGGAAAGAGAGAAGAGAGGTAATTAATATTTATTCATTGTCCATTATTTTCCAAATGCTGTGCTCGATATTTCTTGGCCAATTGAATCTTTCCTTTAAGATTAAAGTTACGGAATCACCCATGACACTGTTCTCTCTTCTTTACACACTTCTACCACAAAACCCATACTGTATATAACTTAGTACCTAAATATAAATAGTAACTTTAGGTTTTAAACTAGATTGTAAGGCTTAGAAGCCTGGTGGTTATGTCTTCTTTCTCTAATACATTCCTCATAAAACCAACATCTAGAGCATATACTAGGGTTCAATAAATATTGTGTTGAATGGCCAAAACACATATATGAGGGATCATTTTTATTTTTTTTAAGTTTATAGGGATCATTTATTTTTAAGTTTATTTAAGTAATCTCCACACCCAACATGGGGCTCAAACTCACGACACCAATATCAGGAGCCACAGGCTCCACTGACTGAGCCAGCCAGGCGCCCCTATAAAGGGTCATTTGTAAATCAAAATTATGTCTCAAAGAAAGGCCACTTTATAGACAACATTTTTACAGTATTTTCCTGCTCATATATATATATATATATATATATATATATATACACACACACATGCATACCCTCTCTCCAGTATAAAAAAATGGGAGGAGGGCTGCTTTAATTTACCAAGTCAACATACTTCCTTACACTAAAACTAAATAAAAATAATTATAATTTTCCAAATAATTCTTTTAAAGCGTTAATTTGAAATGGCAAAAGATCACAAGGTAAATACATACGTAACGGTCTAACCTCCATCTGAACCACCATTCATATACATTCCCTTTCAGTTCAAAACACTTGGACAATGGCCAAAGAGAAAAGATCTTCTCAAATGCACCCTGAGAAAAGGAATCCAGAACACAAAATAAGATGGTATGAGTCAATACTTGTTTTCTAACTCTATTCTAAATTATAGTTTTCTATTAGGATTATAAAAAAGTCATTCACAATTTAAAAATTCTTTCATTTGATGTTCATTTGAAAATAAATTTATTTTACTAACGGCTAATAAAGACGACTTAAAACTTTTTTGTTAACTTACTTTCACTGCACATGAAAGGCTACTGAGACTGCAAAATTAAAACAAAAAGTAAGCTAGTAACTGGAAAATTCTTCCATTTAAGGTTTTTAATCTATTACATAAAGCAGCTAATATTTACTGATCAAAACATCAAAATACAAAAGACCTCAGCCATTATAATATCAATATCCTAAAGAATGATGGTTAAAGTTAAAATACAGTTTTTCCTTCTCTAAATGTCCTTAATAATCCATAATCAACCATCTGAATTAAAATAATCCTCTGAATTAGTCACCTTACTTAATCAACCATACCCAAATGCCATTACCAGCCTTTGAAACAAAGTTTACAATTTTACTCTGGTCAAGTTAGTGAATGCACTCTCTTATTAATCTGACAAGCCTGGAAAATCTGGGAATGAAGGGGCAGAAGTCTTGGGTGCATTCCTGCACATTAATGAAGTCTTTCAAAGAAGAGAACAAAACCTCAATTCCCAGACTAAAGAAGGACGGCAAACTTTTTGAAGGAAAGCTCCATTATTAGACCTACTGCCACAGCATAGAAAATGTAACATAACAATTTTTAAAAAGGCTATTAAAAACCAAAAAAGTGAAAACAGCATTGTATTTTAGGTAATGCTAAATCTTTATAAGAACGTTATTATTTTAATAAAATACAGTATCCTCCATTTACCATTTAAGAATTTAAAATACCTGTAACTTATTAAACAGAGGTCCTATCAAAATCTGTGCCTCAGAAAATAGAGGATTCTTACCAAAAGTTGCAATATAGAGTACTTATAGATCATAAATATTGATATGAAGTACAGAAATATAAATATCAAAATAAAATATAGAAATATTTAGTATCTATTAGAAATACATGGTCCTATAGATCATATATATGTATTTAGCACTTAACATATTATTTCTGATTAAAAATTTATTTATGTGATCAACAGAAAAGTTTTTAGTGAGCACCCATTTTGTGAAAGACACTGGGCTATACTGGGCCATGTACTTTTTTCTTTTGTACACTAATCCAAAGCTCGGGAAACCTTTATTGAACCTCTGGTTCACCTTCCCTTGTCTCCCTCAGATGCACCACAGAGTGTTTGGAATTTTAATGAATAAGTGTCAAGTAGCTGTTGCAGTTACCTGGCTATTTCTTCATACGTTTGCTATTGTTTCCTTATTATTTATAAATCTCCTGCAAAAAACCTTGCAGGTCAGGTAGAAATAAAAATGCTTTATTTCTAAGCATGAAAATAAGAATGAAAGCCTACAAAAACAAACTAATAAAAACCAGCTTGATAGGATCTCTCTCTCTCTCTCTCTCTCTCTCTCTCTCTCACACACACACACACACACACACACACACACACACACACACACGATGCTTATATGGCATTTGCACCTGACACAGCTAAGTACAAGACAGGGAATGTTGGAGATGGGAGCAACTACAGAATAAGTCACAACTACAGGCATTCAAATTAAAATATTTAGTTATAAAGATCATACTGCCCAAATAATATGTCTGTCTGATGGACTGACCAGCAGGTAGGAATTTGTCACCTTGCTAAAGTAGCTGAAAACATCTCAACCATCATAAGAGGGGGATAAAAGGGTAGAGGTAAGAAAATGACCAAAAATTTTATTAAATTAAACATATTCCATACATACAAACCCATTTGCTCCTGAGTTGGTTTTACTAACTGCCAAAATTTTAGTCTATGCAGTTATGGAAAAGTCAAGTAACACTTTGAAGCAATGAATAATGCACAAACCAAGCTGCAAATTCTGTCAAGAGAATTTTGATCTCCACTTAGAGTAGTGTCTTATAAGAGGCATTCAATAAATGTCTGATTGATCAAAGTCAAGTAAAATGGATTTTGAACAATTGCCAGAGGAAGAGCTTTAAATTGCTCTTACAACAAAAACAGTGGTAACAAAAGTAGATAGGTCTCAAAAGAACTACACTGAGTAGTCAACTACAGAGTGACACTTTTATTACAGTCATTAAAAAATGAAGCTAAAAAAAAGCTCTGACTCTTCTTACATACTTTGACTTGAACTTTAAAATAAAACAGAACAAAATATAAACTGAAAAGACTGTACAAACCTGAGAATATGCCAAAAAACATATACATAACAGCAAGAAGGCTAGTTTCAACAGTAAGCCAAAATGCCAGAAACAATTTCCTAAGAGAGAAAACATTTAATTTACTAAAAAGTATAAGTTTACATAAAAAACATATTAAATAGTCTCTGTTTAATGTATTAATACTCTGCACAGTCCTTACAATAATCAAAGGCTGCCTATAGAATACATAAAATATATGTAAGTGGTATAAACTGTAAGAAGGGCAAAAAGGAAAAGACGGACCGTCCTCACTAGGAATGCGGCCACAACCCACACCTGACACCTTACATATTGCCTGTTCATCCACGATAAACATATCTGAAAATATCTCCGGGATTCAATTATACCCATTTACTATTCAAAGTTACAACAAAATTTGGAAAAATATGTCAATATGTTCAATGTAATTCTAACAAACATTCCTGTTGAATACAGCTTAGGTAACACTGCTTAAACATTAAAGTTTCAAGGAAAGAGCTTAAGAACTCCCGAATGTACTAAGGTTTAACTTTAAAATGTATTTTAACGTATGCATATTTTAAGTTACGTGTTCATAGTTTATATATATTGATTTAATTTAATATGTTAGGTTTGTGTCGAGGGATTAAGGTACAAAGGCTATTCAACGATATTAATGGACTTGATTAAAGGCTGGAACTCAACTCTTTCCTGAAAAAGTTATTTGACATTATAATGGAAGTCAGTGGAAGATATTTTTGATATATAATATTTGATTGAAAGAGTTAAGTTAAAAATTACTAAAAACAACAATTTTTAATTTTTCCAAAAAAGGAAGGCTTTTATTTCAATGATATGATCTTCAGGGGGGAAAAGCATGAAGAGAAATGAATGTGGCCTCACTCTGAATATGACCAGTAACTGGCTATGTGGAGTTTGAAGGTGATGACCTTCTGGACGCTCAGGTTTCCTTATATGCACAACAGGCTGACAGTAAGTGTGTAAAGAGGTGTCTAGAGGGTAAATTATATTAGTGCCCTTTAGACCTCGCTGACATAAAAAGCCTTTTTGTAAGTGAATGTTTATCCAAAAATCTCAATACATGTAAAATATATAAAGCAGAGCTGCCAAAGACGAGAGAAGGCTATAAGGGCCTGGAGCCCCATTGGATTGCTCTCCTCTCCTCCAGTGGTCTTCACTCGGGCTCTGTACAGGACAGTCTGACAAATGCTGCGTCAGCTGATGTGTAAAACGACTTTGAAAAATTTAGATTAAAAAAAACACATACATACAATAGACATGCAAACTATTAATCTGCACTGTTATATTACTTGAATTATTTAGCTGTACCATTTTGGAAACATAGTTTAAGAACAAAGTTTCAAATATCAAAACTACACATAAATTTAAACTATGTCTCAATAAAAAATAGCCTTTAACAATGAGGAATAAATTTTGTACATGAAAAGTATATATTTATTAACAGTAAGAGAGTATATTTACCGTTTGCTTTTTTTTGGATTATTTGTGGCCATAGTGCTAAAGTAACATATATGACCATGAACCATACAGTGACCAAAGGGACAAAGTAATAGAATTGATAAGGCCGATCCATTACTATACATAACACCACTACCAGGAAATTGAGACGAAATAAGACCTAGTAAAAAGGAGAAGAAAATGGTTTTCATTCCAGGTATGCAGGAAGAGCAAAGACAGATTCTCTCTGACAGAGTACAAACGTTTATTTAAGACCAAAGTAATAACTGCAAGTATATTTTACTAATCCTTAAAATTACATTTGTTCTACAATCACTGTAAAGAGTTCAATATAAAATATTTATGCCTCATTATATTAACTAAATCCAAGTAAAACACCAACCTGAGCTGTCCTCTGGCTGCAACTGTCATCTTGCTAAATGTAGGGAGAGAATCGTAAGTCTCCTTCCTAAGGCTATGGTTTATAAGCAGAGATTAGATTACCTCAACAAAAGGGTGTCTATTTCATCTGTTTGATGTTGATTTACCCCATTTAGGATTAAGTTGAGAGTTGTCATAGATACAAAATAATATTACTCAAATTAAAAAGTGACTTTGGGACCTCTGTTAACAGTCATGTCAGACAGTGTGATGTCACTCAAAGAACACAGAGTTTAAGCAGATTGATATTAGAGTTGTACCACTTACTATCTGACCATAGGCAAATTATTTAACCTCTCTGAGCCTCAGTGTCCTTTCTGTAAACATGAAGATCACAACTCAGGGTTGTAATGAGGGATAAATAATGTTCAGGAAGTGTCCAGCACAAGGTGGAAACTTAATAAATATTAATCCTCTTCTTAAAGAAAACATAGTGTATTATAATAATTCCAGGTAACTGTACATTTCTATAAAACTGAAGTGAATTAGCAGTGCCGTCCCTTGAGTACCGGTCCTTTTATTAGACATTCACTTAAATTACATTTTCCCTTCCCTCAGTAATAAAATATTTATCTCGAATTATTAACCACAGAACACAGAACTAACATAACTTTAAAGTGCAATGTCATATTCAAATTATTTGTGGCCTTATAATGACCATATTCATATTTTTATGTCAAAATGAAAGAAGAAGAACTGAAATCATCCCTACCTGACAGACTCTATGAATTCCAAAGTCTCCTTTGATCCAAAAGTATGAGAAATGCCCATACCCTGTCTGAAATAGGTATGCAGCAACCAGAACCCGGATGTGCATGTACACAGGCAAAAACTGTTGACAAAAAATATAGGTAAAATATGTTGGCACTAACTATACTTTGAAACATCATAACCAGTATATTTAATCAAGGCAATGGATCATCGTTACCAGTTGGTATAAGCTCAATAAAAACATTTATGTTCAAAAGTTAGGCAACACAGAGCAAGCATTAAAAAAATGTAGACTTCAGAATCAGACCCGATTCAAATTCTGGTTCTGCCCCTTACCAGCTATGGGACTTTAAGTCCGAGTTTTCTAAAATGCAGAATAACAAGGTTCTTATGAGGAACGCAGGAGTTAATAAATGGGAAACACTTTGTATATTTCCTCCACTTAGAATTAAATATAAGATATCCATAGTTATTAATCATCAGATATGCTGAATACGAGGTAACTCTGGATTTCACATTTTCCCAGTGAGAAGATAAAAAAAACCCAAAAAACAAAATGCCACATTTTTGGCCCCCTTAAAAACATGGACTTTAGATTTGTAAATTGTTGTGTAACTACTTATTTAATTATTTAGCAAAAATGTATATTAAAATATATGCAAACATAATTTAGAAATATTATTTCCCTCCCATTCTTTTTTTTTTCAATATATGAAGTTTATTGTCAAATTGGTTTCCATACAACACCCAGTGCTCATCCCAAAAGGTGCCCTCCTCAATCATCACCCACCCTCCCCTCCCTCCCACCCCCCATCAACCCTCAGTTTGTTCTCACTTTTTAAGAGTCTCTTATGCTTTGGCTCTCTTCCATTCTAACCTCTTTTTTTTTTTTCCCTTCCCCTCCCCCATGGGTTTCTGTTAAGTTTCTCAGGATCCACATAAGAGTGAACGCATATGGTATCTGTCTTTCTCTGTATGGCTTATTTCACTCAGCATCACACTCTCCAGTTCCATCCACATTGCTACAAAGGGCCATATTTCATTCTTTCTCATTGCCACGTAGTACTCCATTGTGTATATAAACCACAATTTCTTTATCCATTCATCAGTTGATGGACATTTAGGCTCTTTCCATAATTTGGCTATTGTTGAGAGTGCTGCTATAAACATTGGGGTACGAGTGCCCCTATGCATCAGTACTCCTGGATCCCTTGGGTAAATTCCTAGCAGTGCTATTGCTGGGTCATAGGGTAGGTCTATTATTAATTTTTTGAGGAACCTCCACACTGTTTTCCAGAGTGGCTGCATCAATTTGCATTCCCACCAACAGTGCAAGAGGGTTCCCGTTTCTCCACATCCTCTCCAGCATGTATAGTCTCCTGATTTGTTCATTTTGGCCACTCTGACTGGCGTGAGATGATATCTGGTGTGGTTTTGATTTGTACTTCCCTGATGAGGAGCGACACTGAGCATCTTTTCATGTGCCTGTTGGCCATCCAGACGTCTTCTTTAGAGATGTGTCTATTCATGTTTTCTGCCCATTTCTTCACTGGGTTATTTGTTTTTCAGGTGTGGAGTTTGGTGAGCTCTTTATAGATTTTGGATACTAGCCCTTTGTCCGATATGTCACTTGCAAATATCTTTTCCCATTCCGTTGGTTGTCTTTTAGTTTTGTTGGTTGTTTCCTTTGCTGTGCAGAAGATTTTTATCTTCATAATCCCTCCCATTCTTAATTTTTTAAGTTTATGTATTTACTTTGAGAGAGAGGGAGAAAGAGAATGAACGAATGAACCAGCAGGGGAGGGGCAGAGAGACAGAGGGAGAGAGAGAATCCCAGATAGTCTCCACTGTGTCAATGCAGAGCCTGATGTGAGGGCTCCATCTCACGAACTGTGAGATCATGATCTGAGCCAAGATAATTTAAACTATGAGATGAAACTATCAGACACTTAACCGACTGAGTCACCTAAGTGCTCCCAACTCTTAATTTCTAAAACAATTTTATTTTACTCTCCTACATCAATGTTACATCATGACCAAGAGGCTTAGAATAATTTACCATGGTTTTTCAGAGCATCCTATCTTCACTTCTTTTTTTAACATTTATTTATTTTTGAGACAGAGAGAGAGAGAGAGAGAGAGAGAGATCATGAACAGGGGAGGGTCAGAGAGAGAGGGAGACACAGAATCTGAAACAGGCTCCAGGCTCTGAGCTGTCAGCACAGAGCCTGACGCGGGGCTCGAACTCACGGACCGCGAAACCATGACCTGAGCCAAAGTCGGATGCTTAACTGACTGAGCCACCCAGGCACCCCTCCTATCTTCACTTCTAAATTAAATGAAATGTAACACATTTCTGATCTATATTTTATGGGAATCACTGGAAATATCTCATTTATAACTCCTAATTCTCATAACCCTATAATGCTGTCATTCATCCTATCAGCCACCACTCCTTTACGTGTGTGATCATGATCTCCACAACACAACTAGTGCACTGGTTTTGAAAAAATCTTTTTTTAAATTTATTTTTATTTTTTAAATTCATTTTTGAGAGAGACAAAGATAGCGTGAGTGGGGGAGAGGCAGAGAGAGAGAGAGAGAGAGAGAGAGAGAGAGAGAGAGAGAATCCCAAGCAAGCTTTGCACTGTCAGTGCAGAGCCCGATGTGGGGCTTGAATTCATGGAACCACAAGATCATGGCCTGCGCTGAAACCAAGAGTCAGATGCTTAACTGACTGAGACACCCAGGCACCCCTTGAAATGATCTTTAAAAGGCTTGTTCAGTGACATCCAACCCTTGCAATTATAAGATTATTCTTTTAGGGATAATTACTAAATTTATGTAAACATTTTTTGGCTCCTATTTTATAGATGCATCTGATCACTCTGTGACTATCCAGCATTGACAAACTTATGGCCACTTCTGGTTAATGTATGTTTTCCAAGTGATACCTTGTAGGAAAAAATAAAATAAGTAGACATCTTAAATAGATTTTACGAGTCCTTCAATGTATGCATCTTTTGTATATATCCTTGAATGCACCCTTGAGCACATCTTTTTCTTTTCTGAGAAGGCAAAAATCCCTGAATTTATAATAGGTCATAAACTCTTCAATACCCCTTCTACTCTAGCCAAACTGTTAGGGTTCTCTGTCTCCTAGAGTGATTCTTGTGCCTCCCTGTCACCTTTCCTTTGTTTATCTGTTTATTCTACCCTGGAATATTCTTCTTCTGACCATATTTTGCTTATTCAAATCTTATTCTTCTTTAGAGCCCTGTTCAAAAATTTCCTATCTTCACTCTCAGATGAAAGTCATTTTTCCTTCCTCAGAGTTCTTACAGCACTGACATCTATATATCAAACAGGGTTTTTATTTATTGCCCTTCATCATTAGTTCTTTTTAAATGTCTTATCGTTAAATCAGAAATTTTAGATGAAGGTGTAAGCTACTAGAATCACAGTGATGAAGGTAGGAAATGTCGTATTAAAATAACCTCAGGATTTATCTAAGCCTGTTACCTCATTCTTGAAACCACTCTAAAATATTCCCTTCAAGTATCTGAACACTTTGAACAGCAGAATATGTACAAATTCCCAAGGCAATCCATTCATTTTCAGATGGCCATTTACTACCATAAAGTTCCTTTTCAAGAAAAGTTGAAATCTAACTCTATGTAAAAACTACCAACTTCAGTCTTGTAGGGCAATGCTATGCAATAGAAATAAAATGCAAGTCACATAGTACACTTTTAATATGGCTACCAGAATATTTAAAAAGCTCAAAGAATCAAGTGAAACTAATTTTAATAAATACAATTTATTTAATTGAATATATACAAAATACTTTCATTCTAACATGTAATGAGCATGTAATAAGATATTTTATATGTTTTAGGCTAAATTTTTGAACTTAGTATGCATTTATCACAATTAATCATACTTAACTGGTATGTATTTCACATTCACAGCACATCTCAGTTCCAACTAGCTATATTTCAAGTGCTCGACAGCCACATGTGTCTAGCGGCTTCCATAATGGAGAGTCTAGCCTTAGAGCCTTTTGCATACACTGATTCTTGTATCTGATTGTTCTACAAGTATCTGAAAATAGTTGTCAAACCTAGGCTAACTATTCCCAATCACTTTAATCACTGTCCACAAACATGCTTTGAAATCCCCTCAAGACGGGCTGGGCCTACAAACTTCGGACTTGGTTATTACATTCAAAAAGTAAATACTATTCATTTAAACTAAACACTATCACAGCAATCTGCCAAGTACCTGCCAATGTTGGATTATTGAAAATTTCATGTAATACTTCTCCCAAGTTTTTATTTTAATGCATTTTAAGCCAAAAAAAAAGTTGTAAGAATAATACAATGGATATCCATATACCATGCTGACCTATTTTAAAGAGTGCTGCAGACTACATCGTTCCTAAATATATTAGCAAGTATCTTCTAAGAAGATAAAATAGTTTCTTACATAATCATATATCATTTTAATAACCCAAGATTTAGTATTACTATAACAGTATCTATTGTAAAATTTACATTCAAATATCCCTGACTGTGCCAGTAACATCCTCTATGGTTTAAAAACAATTTTTTTTTAGGAATCTTGGATCAAGTATCATACAGTGCACTTAGTTGTCGTTTCTCTTCTGTCTCCTTTAATCCAAATTATTTTTCTTTTTATCTTTCATGAGTCAAGTACTACAACAAAATTTTAATATTAAAATATGTTTGGAATTTTAACTGCATTACAATTAATAGCTAGGCTGGCTTCAGATTCTGTTCTTTTTCTAGTCCCACAAATTTTCCCTCAAGATCTTTTATTCAGATCCTTTCAAGAAAGTTACTTACGAACTCCCAAAGGAAAAAAAACCCACAGTGGAACACAAAATCATCTACTGTATAGACCTAACTCGCTGTACTCTCCATATTAAATTCACAGTGTTTTATCCCTATTTCCTATAAATTATGTTTTAAAAGAATGTTTATACCAACAATTGCAATCTGCTAGACCATCTGGATTATTTTAAGAATTCTCTGTATTTTTTTATGGTTTCTATTTTAGTATAAAAACATGGCACAACTAAAGTTTGACATATTTTAACATATTTTACTCAAAATAAAAAACATTAAGATTATGTAATTAAAATAACCATGGCAGTTAAAAAAGGTTTTTAATGAGGGTAATCCCTCAAATATCCAAGAATCAGGTCCCAAAATATGTTATAACCCATGTTAATTATGCTTTGCTAATGTAGACACAGGTAATTTTTAACCACAAAATCCTATTATATAAAAGAACAGGAATATGTTAATTAATCATAACAAATGGTCTGTTAATGAAAAGTATGTCCTTTCAGAACAGAGATTTTTAAAAACTGTAATTTAGGATATATTGGGATGTAGTCTAAGATATATTAGAATTAGAATGCTAGCTTGGCAAATGATTATAACAGAATGCCAAATTACCTTCATCCTTTTATGATCCAAATTCTTTCTGGAATCACTGAATTGAGGAACTTAATCTGCCATTAATTCTTTCTATCTGATTTTTTTAAAATAGGAGTATCACCCTTTAATATGTCAGCAATAAATTATGTCTCTAAGTGGCATTTTCTTAAAACAAAAGACTTTTTTCCTTCTCAAATTAATCTAATCTTTATTCATATGTCAGGGGTATTTCTAGGATTCAATATTCATCTCTACTGACTTTTTAGAGAATCTGACAAATCTATCCTCCAAATTATGAGCTGGGCTTACAAACAGTCTTACTATCCTCATCTCCCCTTGCCTCGGATTTCTTTTACTGTCTTCAATCTTCTGTACCAACTTGAACTCACTAGGTCCCCTTCAGTTGCAGCGCGACAGGAATTTCACTGCTGCCACAAATATACACATCATAGCCATACAATTTCAGTAAAAATTATACTTCATTCTTTTATCTTCTGCCCTTCAAACAAACCATCCATAAAATCATGGACAATTTTTGAAAATAACGAAAAGATTCAATGAAGAATAATATTATTTTCAAATTGTTGGAGATATCTGAAGAAAACCTCAGTATTTTTTGTTTTCTTAACTGCTACTTTGGAAATTTCAAAATACTTCTGTCTGGACAAAATTCTTATCTCAATTTATCTCAATTTATCACCAATTCAAATACTATTTACAGATGTGTGCTTTGTGTAAACAAAACAATAAAAAACAGTTCTGTAGTTCCATAATTGTTTTAAAGCATATTTTATAGAAATCGGTTTGTACCTTCACTATAAAACTTGCGTGAAAAGTAGTTATTAGATGTAGGTTCGCCCTCCAAAGTCTGCTTTAATTGCAACGTAGCTGGAATGTTACAACTCGGAATACGTTTTTTTGTTTTTGTTGTTTTTTTTTATTTTTTTACTCCTGTCAAATCCAGGGTGTCCTGAGACCTTGAGAATCCTATCTTTTCAGACAACTACGGAGAAGGAAAAAATGATTTTGTCCAGGTACAGCACATCAATGGTACAATGGTAGTCCATTAGTACCTGAGTTCTTTGAATAATGGAGGAAAAGAGTTCTAAGGTTTTTAAACTCTTTAAGTGTAACAATATAAAATACAAGTAAGGGTAGAATATAAATATAGTCATCTAATTTGATTTCTTTTGATAGTAACTTGTCTATTTGAAATCTTTTGCAACTAAGTGTCATCTACATTGTTTCCTCCTAAGTTTAAATTAGCTGTCCAACAGGGTGGCATGAATTAATACCCTTAGGTTATCAGCTGTTTCTACTCAATTAAAATTAAGGCCAGGTATTACTAATAAATTATTGCCTTAAGACTATACATTCTCAAAGAGTCAGGTGGTAGGAGAAGAATGGGAAGGCATAAAGGTTGGGTAGAAAATGAAATGGGTCTCTAAACGGTCAAGAATATAAAACACAAAAGAGGTGGTGCCCTTAAAGAAACATTAAAGTGCCACTGTTTCCTATATTTTCTGAATTTAAATTCAAAATACTTACTGTACTTGCTCCAGAGATATGATAAATCAGAATCACAAGTTGCATCCAGCCTTTCCATTCATCTGTTTGTTCTCTATTTAACACTTTAGTCTGTGGAAAAGAACCAGTCTGTTTTACAATTCATTATGAAGGTATTATTAAGTAAATTTTTCTTATAGGACATAAAGCTAATGCTTCTGTTAAAAGAACTTTGGAGAAAAACAAACAATTAAAGATTGTCATTTTATTTGATAAGAGATATAATGAAACTATTTCAATATAATATGAATTGGAGAATTAATATAAACTAAAGGAGATTTTATATATTTAAGTTGCTACTCATGGTTTTATATGAAGATTACATTTAAAGTTTGACAGATGTGTTTGTTAGTCTAAAAAATGGCATTGTATAATTTTCTTTAAAAAAATCTTAGGAGTTTCAGCTAGAAAAGATCTTACAGTTCTCTTATATTTTACTGTGAAAAAATGGTCCATTATTATAGTTTATTTTCCCAAGGAGATGAAAAAACTGATTAGTCATCCTCATATGAAAGTTACTTCTTACAAGAAAGTTTATTAATTGAAATAAATCATGCCTTAAAAAGAAGTTACGCTAATATTCTGAGCAATTACAACAATTTGAAAACAGGAAATTCAGACTATTATAAGCAGTGCCCACATTATTACATAAATTCTAATTTGTGTGTATACATGTCTGTATAGCTATATAAATATAAAATGTGCATATAGGCATTTGTTAATTATATTTTTTAGTTACTTTTTAAAAACTTTACATAAGATAATAGTATCTCATGTTTGTAGACCATTATAAAATTGGGAACACCTCCACTTTCCCTATCCCCAAACAGGCAAAATAACACTAAGTCATGACATCTTTTTCACAGATCCTTATTCACCAATTTTTTCAACAATCTTTAACTGACTCTGAATTTCTTCCAAACTGTTTCAAAAAAAGCAACTGTTAAGAGTCCACCAGGCAAAGTACAACCACACTATCCTTTTGTCCTCTTCTATATATGTGTTTGAATATTCTGGCATGATATATGATTATTATTTCTTTAATCTAGAGTTTACAATGAGATGAAAGAGTTAACATGAGCTAAAAAGAAAATGACTCTTACCTCCTTAGTATTTTCATTGTAAAATACTCCCAAAACCAAGATGTAGATAATTGGAATAAAGAAAGTTGAATGTGTATAAAATTTGTTTTCCTTCATAAATAGATTTGCACGGTCACACATATAGAAATAAGCCATTATCAGGCCAAGTTTGCAGAAAGACTGTAAAAGTACTTCTAAAGGAGACACAGAGGTATTGATAATATTTTTCTTTTCCTCTCCACTTTCCAAATCAGTACATGGCTTATTCTTCCGATGAGTGTTACGATGAATTATATAAAAAATTAAATATCCAATAATAGATAAAGTAAAAAAACAAGCAGCTAGCTTCTGTATGAGGGTAAGAGGAGGCCGAGGTTGACAACAGGAACCATCTACAGGCTTCAAAATCTTATTGCAATACACGTTCATAAGAATCATTGCACTCTGTGAACAAATCAAGTTATTTGGTTATTATCTTGTCAGTAATGTATCTTGCATTAGATTTTCTCTTGTGAATATTACTGACTTTTCAGCACCGAAACTAAAATGCCTTTGTACTTTTTGCTACCATTTTCCAAACACTCATGCAAATAATGGTATTCCTTAATCTGTAATAGCCAGTTCAGGGTTTTTCAAACTTCTTGGACTATGATCCATAATGAAACATTCATTTTATAATGTGACCCAGAACACATCCACAGGAAACAATATCTATCCTTACTATCTAGAATGCACTCTGACATTTTTCTATTCTATTCTTAAAAAAATAAAACACTGATTTCATGGCTATTGGGCCATGACCTTTGGTAAAACAAATACTGACAGATGTCAAAGCCCAAAGAATTTTAGTTAGCAGACTCGCAGGATACTTAAGATAGAGTGCCAGTCTTTAGATGTAAAAAAAGATGTAAAATTACTGCCACCGAAAAATCATTAATTCTTAGCTAACAATATTTGTAATATGCTTTTCATTTGGTTTATCATTTATGCGCACTTAGAATTATAAAGTTTTAAGATTTCTAATGTTAAATAAAATGTGGAATCTTCAACATGGTTTCATTATAGCACAAATCTCCTAGATAAGCTGCCAAGATTCTGCCTAGTTGAAAGTTCAATCAAGTCTAGTTCTATAAAAATTTTATAGTTTAGGCAATTTTGGAACTCTAAGATGATTATATTTTTTAAGCCTAAACGTTCAAAATACTCAACTATTTAGAAAATCTCATACTTTTAGCCCTGCAACTTCAGGAAGTTCTGTACCTGGCAATCTTGAAGATACTAGCTTACAAACTCCAACCCAAGGTTCTTAACCAGTTCCAGGGGGTCCACAAAGCCCCTTAAAGTATATGGAGAACCATGTGTGTGTATATGCATATACACACACAAACACGCATTTCTGCAAGACTGGAACAGAATCATTCCTTTTTACAGAATACTCAAAGGGGTTATGTGATTCTCAAGAAGATTAAGAATCACTCCTTTATAAGAAAACAATAACTAAATAATATCTGCTGCACTGTATGTGACAATTTATAACCATGCGGTTCTCTTTCTTATTTAACCTATTTCCATCTGTCTGGATTTGTTCAGTTACTACTATATAGCCCGTATAAAACTTAGGGTAAAATAACGGTAAGAGAATAATAAAAAGTATGCTACATGTTTTAAAAAGGTGCTCTTCACAGAAGCTTGATCTTACACATTTAAGGTTTTTAAGGCAAAGAGAACATAATACAGTAGTTTTTAAACAGGAGTGTGGTGAGAACTTATAAGCTTAGGAGACAAGGTATATTAAGAGTTAGGAGCACTCAATAAATGAAGTTTCATTTCCTCCCTCCCATAACTTCTTTCCTTCTTTTACTAAAACTCTCACTTGTATAAAAGCAAAATTAGTTCTACGTGCATGTTTAGATAGAATAACTACAAGTAATTAAGACTGTAATAAAATAAGTTGTTTGTTACCATATTATTGTGACTTATAGCTAAAAGTAATAAGATATTGTAGTTTCTATCTCCTGATAGATACAAGAATCCTTACAGTTTCTCTGCTTGATTCAGGAAGATGTAAGCCATCCAAAGACTCTGTGATGGTTTCTTGAGCAATTAATTTAGAAACACTGAACATCTTAACATTTGATTTAGAATTTCTGGTGCTACTATTCAAAATGCTGACTGCAGCTTCATTGTAGGCATCTATCTTCTCATTAGTGATCATTTTCCTATTTTCACTTAATAGATCTTCATAAACAGGATCTGTACACAAAACACATATTTTTAAAAACACATTTAAAAAATCCCTACTGACAGAATTAGTGATCATGCAAGTTCACTGATTGTACTTCATACTCTGTTGTGAAAGTTCAGATACTTTGAATCAATCGATATCTCTTTTAAATCTAAAGAACTTTTATCCCTCTCTTATCTTAGTACACAGCTTTCAGGAAATATTTTTATGTTCTAGCATATCTTAGGAGTTTAAAATTTGGGGATACTGAGTACCACTGGGCAATGGGAATTGAAAACTAGACCGGGGAATGGGGTGCCTGGGTGGCTCGATTGGCTGAATGTTCAGCTCTTGATTTCAGCTCAGGTCATGATTTCATGGATCCCTGAGATCAAGCTCTGTGTCAGGTTCCACGTCAGGTTTCGCGCTCACAGCATGGAGCCTGCTTAGGATTCTCTCTCCCTCTCTCTCTGCCCCTCCCCTGGTCGCATGCTCTCTCTCTCTCAAAATAAATCAACAAACATTTAAAAAAATAAATAAAACTGGATTGGGGAAGACTGCCTAATTAGGAGTAACAGTCAATCTTTTTTTTTTTCCTGCCACTGCTTTGCTCATACAATTGTAAGGTAATATTATTGAGGATCAAAGTCCCTTATCACTTACCATAAATAATTTTTTTCTCATTTTAGTAAAAGAAAGGTTAACAATGAGTTTGTAAATAATATAGATTAAAGAATAGATTATCACTACTCTTGCTGTTCCGTTTAACTTGACATTCAATTTGGAAATAATTGTAAGAGTTTCTGACAAGCCAGCTGAATTGCTAAAATATCCAAGGCAATTTCATATAGTGCTAGACATTAAATAATGGACATTCAATAAACTCCTGAAATGACTTGATCTAATGTCAACTTTCTGTTAAAGAATTTCATTACCAAGTATAAACTAGATGGTATGAATTTAAATACATTCTGTCAATTCCAGAATTTATTTGCTTCCAATGACTCTAATATTATGAAACAGACTTAATAATTTTTTTCTGTATTTCCCAATCACCATAAATATACTTTGTAAGAAATAAAAATCAGGGGTAAACATCTCATTTATCTTTGAGAACTTAATCTTTTTGTTATATGCTGCAGCCATTTTGTATGCTGAGGCTCCTTAAAGGATATTTTTATTTATTATTTATTTTCACTTATTATATTTATTAGTTTATCTCTTCCTTAAGTTCAAAAAAGGAAAGCAAATAACTCAAATTTATTCTAATTTTGCAAACCTTATTTCAAGATTTATCCTCATAAAGGAGTAATTCTGCTTCTTGAAACAGGAGACAATAAAAACCCATGCTTCAAAATATATACATAATGACATTTGGTCATTACTCATTTGTTCATTCCTTACCTTGTAAGACCCAATAAACATCACTAGTCTTTGCCAGTTTTTCTAAAAGTGGTGCTATGGAGGTAATGTTCATTTTATATTGGGAAAGAGCTTCGTTGCTACCATTGTGAATCTTGATAGACCACTAAGAAATAAAAAATAAGCATTAATTCAGCATTTATCACAGAAAAATTATAACTTGCTCTATTGTAACAAAAGTTATTATTTTAAGATAATCTCCACTTTTATTCAACATTAGAGTAAAATTTCATCATTTCATGAAATCTATGAACACAATTAAAAAAAGCTGATATAACATTAGACACTCAACGTATGACATTCAAGAAGAATGTAATTTTATAAATAAAATAATATTGACATTTAACACCAAGTTTACTAAATTTATTCAAATTGTTTCATTAAAATAAATCAGCCTCATTAATTATAATAGAAATAGTAATTGAAATATAGGTACAATCAAGAATTCTATTTAACATAAGTTAACTTTTCCTCAGCGTGTCCTTAAGAATGAAACAAAAATCCGTATGCAAGAATACGCATAATAACTTACTGTGGCAGCTCCTGCTACAATCACATGGGGCTTTGCAACAGAATCCTAAAGAAAGAAAAATCTTTATAAGAGTGTTCTATCCAGTTATGGGAATTAATATAAGTAACATCACTTACTTTTTGCCTTAAATTTAAAGTTCTTCCTTCTAAATGCATTTTAATTTTCTGAGTTCCTTATTGGATTCTCATTATAACAAGATGGCACATCCAATGCCTAAAACCTTACATGGTTATGTGGTTATACAGAATAGCGTGAAGCTTGTGCGTTTAATTTTTTGGTGTTCTTAAAAAAAAAGCCCAAAACATATCACTGAAATTTAATATGGCCTAATATTATTCTGAATTTGGAGTAAACTGTTTAGAGTAAAGCTCTAGTATATTATGTCAGCCAATTAAAAAATATTAATGAAGACTAGAGGGTACAGAGAAAAATGTTAAATAAAATGCAAGAAATGTAATCTTTGGAAAAGCTAAATCCGACATGTATAACGGCTAATTATCATAGACCACAATGTGCAAAGAAACAAGGAGAAATTTGGTAGAAATCCTCATCAAATGCAAATTGTACTATTACTAATACTACCAATTATACAGTACTTAGTAATTTACTAAGTTCTTTTAAATTAGCTCATTTGAATGTAGATTCTTGCCACCCGTGAGACAGGCAGGAAGATATTATACACATCTTATCAAATTAAGGATACAGACTCAGAAAAGTTTATAGGGTATTGCTGAGGCCTGTAAGGGACAAAGCCAGAGCTTAAGTCTTGTGACTCCTAAATTTAGTGCAATTTTCACATCAAAAGACCTGCTATTATAATCATGTGCACAAGGAACAATTAAAAATAAGCAAGAAATTTAATTAGAAAAAAATATGACTCATCTAGAAAAGTAAAAATGACAGGTATTGTCTCATTATAAAGGTAGAAGACTATGAAAGCAGAGAAAAAGAATAACAATAATTTCCTTCATGGATACTCTCATTTCCAGTCTAGTGTGTTTCATTTTACACTGCTATTTTAGTGGAATTTCTTCCTCATCTCTAGGTGGCTCCCTTTCTGATTTGTCACAGTCATTAACCCCAAATCTTATTTCTCTTCTACAGGTCCCTCTTGCCTCCCTTCTCACTTTTGGTATAAAATTCTCAAATTTCATGGAGAAAATGGAATTCATCTGGCTTGTGTGCTCTAGACTTCCTCTATTCTTACAACTTCTCCCAGCCTATCTTCCTTGAACAACAGAGTCAATGGCTAATCCTCTTAATGGCTAATCCTTACTCTGTGTCTCTATCGGCCCCCTCTTTCTGTCCAGGGATGTATCCATGAATGATCAATCTCCAATTCTCATCGATTTCATTTTCCTTCTCTAGCCTCCTTTATTCCCCCATCTACAAAATGCTATATCATCTTTAGACTAAAAAAATGTTCCTTCAACCTTGCCTCATTCTCAAATCCTTCCTCCTTGTACTGTTAACCAACAGATTACTTGGAAGAGCATTTTGCCCTCCCTATGTGAATTTCCTTATCTCTCATTTATGCCTCAATTGATCACATTTTGATTTGGGGCTTCACCATGCACTAAGACTGATCCCATTCATGAATTCTGGATTTCTACGTTCTGTTAGTTTCATTCTACCCTGTCTAGTTCCTAAAGTGACACTTCTGACTGTCCACTTTTTAAAACTCTTTCCTCCCCTTGTGTGTCATGATACAGTTATTCTTCTCCTGCTTTTCCTCTTACCTCCTTTACTGCCCCTTCTCAAAATGTTTTTGATAGTTGTATTACCAAGTCCTCTTCTTTAATCTCTAAACTCTGTGCCTATTCAATGTCTTCCATTCAAGTGACTTCAACTATCACCTCACACAATACCCAGATTCTCCAATTCCATCTGAGTAGCTCAGACTTCTTAATGAGTGCCCTCACCTACAGAATTAAATCTAAATTGTTGGTTTCTTCACAGTTTACCCTAATTTCCCATGACTCCCTCAATACATGTCACCATTCTGTTTAAACGTTTCAGTGGTTCTCCACTACCCTCAACACAAATTAAACTCAATATTCTTATCTTTAGGAAATATACCCTGAAGTATTTAGAAGTAATCAAAACATGGATAGATAAATGAATTTATACCACACCGAATACAACTTAAGATATTATTCATAATGTAATATCTGCTTACCTCATCTCTTATTAGCCCTCTCCTCAAATGAAGCACATGGAAATAACAGCCAAAACCAAACGCAAATAAAAAAAGCACTTTGAATTTAAGTTCCAGCCATACTAAAACTGCTAGTGATTCCCTGAATAGGCTACAGTCTATCTTCAGTATCTTTGCATATGCTATTTCTTGTGCATGAAACAACCCTCCTTTCTCATAACAGGCCCTCACCCTTAAAATCACTTTACCTGAAAACTAGTTTTGAAAACTTATAGTTAGTGCCTATTCTCTGTAATCTTGCTGTACCCTATTCTTCCCCTATTTTGGCACTTGTCACATTACTTTCTTAATTAACTATATCTGCCACTCATCTGGAAGCTCTTTGAGGAGAGGAACTCTATCATGTTAACTCTATCAGCACTTTTTAGCCTAGTACCTAGAAAATGGCAGGTGATTAATAAATATCTGTTGAATCACAGCAGAGTTGTCTAAATTCAACTTTGCTTTTATGCCTGTAGGCTACAATAATGCTCTTTCAGTTAATAAGTGTATCCTTCTAACCCCACAGTTCTTCTGGAAATATTACCTCCTCTGTAAAGCTTTCTTAAACCATCACCTGTATCTAACCAACCCCCATCCTAAGTGCCTCTATCCATGGTGCTTTCATAGTTCTTTGTGCTCAATTCTGTACTTACTCTTCATCTTACCATATTATTATTCATCAGAAAGTCACTATATACTAGATACTGAAAATTCTTTGAAGGCTGAGACTGAGGCTAATTACTAGCCACACTCCTAACACTGAATGTAAAGCCAGCAATATTACATAAATAATACTAATATGGATTGTTGTATTCTCAGGGTCTAGCTGCTTACTACGAAAATAATAAAAAAATACATAAAAACATGCATACATACATACTTTTTAAATAAATGAAATCAATCAATCAATCAATCTTAAGTAATGACACAGCCATCTACCTAAATAAGTGGAATCCTTCCTATCCCCCAGTAGTCATAAGGAATCTTACAATAGAATCTAAAGCTCTAAAAACTAGTTTTAGCAAATTATAAGAACTGAAAATCTGGATATGCAATGTAACTCCAAGTTAGTAAATAAAAAAAGTTATCGATGATTTTACAGGACTTATAAATTATACTGCATTGATGTTTCTTTAACTGTGAATTTCTACTACTTTAATGATATACTTTCAGGTCCAGCACAAATATAAAACATATGTTTAAATCATTTGAAATATATACATGTAACATTATTCTACACTTTTGGAATAAACAAATCAACAAAGACAAAATACAATTATGTGAGACTGCAAGTTACCAGAAAGTTGAATTCTAGAATTTGTCTTCATATTTTGTTTTTTGAAAACTGAAACACATTTTGTCAAAAAAAAATTTTAGAAATGTTGACTAGGTTCCCACTGGATCCTACAAAAGCTTATTTGGTGTATGAAGTGGTTGCAGTGCTAAACATGTACTGTGAAAAGAAGCAAAGAAAAATACCAGTGCAGTATAAGTAATTAAGCAAAACAAGGTCAACAAAATTGAATACTGTTTTATCCATCCCAAATGCAAATACCTCTAAGGAAAGAAGACAGGTTTAAGTAAAGGACAAAGAGCTATATGGAGACTGCTGTGGAGATTCTAGAAAGGACTTTGGGGTTTTCGAGGTGAATAGAATGCTTGCCCTTATATCTATCTCCAAACATTATGAGCCAAAATATGCCAGACTTGACTTATGGGCCACAAATGTAATGATAAAAGGGAAGAAAACAGGCTATTTAACAACAACAACAACAACAACAACAACAACAAAAGTTTCCTGAAGAATCTGGGCATGAGTTTGAAAAAGTGGGAACATGCTCAAGAGAATGTATGTTGTGCAAGAAGATGACCTGGGTTTGAGCTAACTGGGCAACAGAAGTAACAGAAAATTCTGTCTGGAAAATGTGGCATCAGCATAACCACAGTAGGGTTAGAGTGGTGGCAGCAGAGGTACTAGATCAAAACTCCCTCTTCTCAGTAAAGTGACCGGATCCATCCAGCACAATTAGTCACTATGAAGAAAGTCGGCACAGGCAGAAGAGTAGGACAGGCAAGTAAGGGGGAGAAACACAAGGAGTGCTCATGAGCTTTTAAAATTTGGTTGCTTAAAACCAGAGAGACCTAGATGTTCAAATACAGACCTCAGTCCATACTTTGATACACTGTTTCATAGAACCATTAACTTCTGGATGCCATAGAAAATCCTAAAAAAAGAAACATAGTGAATAAAAAGTCAAAGAAACTTATTCGTGCTGCCTAAAAGAAACATGAACCCATCTCTTCAAGAGTACCTAAAGTAAGGGGTGCCTGGGTGGCTCAGTCAGTTAAGCATCCGACTTCAGCTCAGGTCATGATCTCACAGTTCATGAGTTCGAGCCCCGCGTTGGGCTCTGTGCTGACTGCTCGGAGCCTGGAGCCTGCCTTGGATTCTGTGTCTCCCTCTCTCTCTGCTCCTCCCCTCCTTGCACTCTGTCTCCCTCTGTCTCAAAAATGAATAAACATTAAAAAAAAAAAAAAAAAAAAAAAGAGTACCTAAAGTAAAACACACCTTGTCCATGACATCTTCATCTCCCATCTCGGTTTCCCAAGGGCCTCACAGGAATTCTTGTATCCACTTCTACTTTCCTCTAAACTATTCTCCACAGTCATCTTTTAAAATTTAAATCTGATCTTGCCACACATCCTTGCTTAAATATTCAAGGACTTTCAATTGTCCTCAGAATAAATTTCAAAGTCCTTAAAACTACTAAGGAGGTATAGGATCTGGCCTCTACCAAGACATTCTATCTTTTCTCCTCCCACTTTCCCCTCACTTTAAGTACCCTGTTGATTCTCCTTCAGCTCCTGGAATGCTCTATGTGCTCCTTTTTTCTCTAGGACTTTGCACATACTGTTCTGCCTACAATGCTCATAAAACTTCTCCACTGAGCCTGACTCGCTCCTACTTATCCTTGAAGCTTCAGTTAAAACATCTTTCTCAAAGAGGAAAACTATTTTTAATTCACTGTTTTGTACATTCCTAATGCCCACTTCTTCCTTTTTAAATTTTTTTTTTATTATTTTTAGAGGGAGAGACAGTGAGAGCAGGGGAGGGGGCAAAGAAGAATCTTACGCAGGCTCCACCTTCGGCACGGAGTAAGACTTGGGGCTCAATCGCACAACCCTGGGAGTTAAATCCAAAAGCTAAAAGAGTTAAAATCAAGAGTCAGAAGCTCAACCAACTGAGCCACCCAGGCGCCTCCCACTTTTTCCTTTTCACCATCCTTATTCCACATTTAAAGCATGTAGTGAACTCTAATGACTTTCAAAATCCATTAAGTCTAGGACATTTTTGTCTTGACCCCTACTGTATTCTCAGTATTTAGGAGAAGTCACTGTGACTAGGAATTCAGAAAAGTCACGGATATTCTTTTATGGATATTAGTCCTGAACACATACTGGCTTCAAATTAACATACAAGATTATTATTTTCTGGATTAAAAAATCTGAGAGACCAAATTTTCCATTTCATTACACAAAACTGTGCATACAAACATTTACCAATCATTTTACCATTCTTATCTACTCTAAATACACTGAAATATATTTAATACCTACAAAGCATTAGCTGATCTACAAATAAATTAACCAATGAATATAGTTTCAACATAACATTTAGCTTACTGTTACATTAACCTACCACTTTAACTGATGAAATCTTGTCTTCAAAAGGAATGTTTCCATGCTGTCATTAAAAGAGAGAAACCAAGGAATATTAATGTATAGATTAATTTTATGTCATTAATTCTCCCTTTAGCTGCTTTTGCTGATTTATTTATGCACTACATCTCAATTATCTATATTCAACCTGAAGGGAAAAACACTTGCATAGAATACCAAAAAATAAGCGACACTAAATTGTTTATATGTGATTTTTAACATCTAAGATAGAGTCTAAAGATAAAACCTCAACTCCAAACAAGCAGTTATGTGAACCTGTATCTTTTTGCCAAGATTGCCACATTCCAATTTAGTCTTAATATTATTATCTATGGCAGAGATGGAGAGCTCCTCTGCATTTCCTGAGTCCCCACCAGTTAGAACCACATGACTAGTTCTGGCCAACGTAACATGGCTAGATGGGATGTGGGTCACTCCCAGCTGAATTTCTCAGGGTAATTCTCTAGTCTCTGACTTAACCTGATGCTGAGACTACAGAGGCTGGTACAACTGGAAGGTGGTATAAATTCCAACAAGGAGGGATCTCCAAATGACTGCATAGAGTAAAACCTCTTGCCAACCCACCCACAACATGTAGCTCTAAGTGAGAAATAAACTTCTGTTTTGTTACGGTTGTAGAGTGGTTTGTTGCTGCAGCAACATCTAGTCTGTTCTCAACAATACACTAGTATCAGTCTTGTCTGAACAGGAGTGCACATATACGGCTCTAGGTTATTTTGGGTTTCGTTTCAAAGACTGTATAGATGGTCCAGTTGAATAAAAAAATCAGAGTTTGGAGACAACTTCTAGTAACCAAGCATTCCATAAAACTCTAGGGTGGGGTGGGGGATAGAAGTGGTCAAATAAAAAAGGTAATTCTTCCTAAAACCAAGGTTGAAATGTCTTCATTAATCTAACCAGACAAACAGTATTTATACTTATATCTCTGTGAAATAAAGCTTACTTTTATCAGCATGCTAACTTTTAAAATTCAAGCATCATTTCCCAAAAGGACTCTGAGACCAACTGTACTTTCAGGTGTGTTCTATGAAGAGTTTCCTTGGTCAAATAAGTCTCGGAATTACTGGGTCAGACCAAATCACACAAGTGTTTTCCTTCTACTATCCCATAGCTATTGCATAACTCAGGTAATTCAATTTAACCTCTCTCTTCTTTTCCTTGGATATACACAAAAGAATATGTCTCATATGTAAGTCACAAAGCACAGTAAAAATAAATAAGCACTCATGAGTCCATCGCAGAAATCAGAGCACTACCAACACACTGAATGACCTATGTGGACCTTTCACTACTTTGAATTTTGTTTGTATTTTGCTTTCCTTTTTATTATATAGTTTTGTCACATGTATATGCATCCTTTAATGATATATTGTTTAGTGTTACTGGCTTTCTCTCCCACTTTTAATTTTGAGGAATGTCAAACTAAAAAAAAAGAAAAGAAAAATGTCAAACTTAGAGAAAAATTGACAAAATTATAATGAGCACCCCAAATACCCTTTATGAATTGTTAACATTTCCTCCACCAGCTTCTTGTCTCTCTCTGCATAGACATATACATTGTTTTCCTTTTACTGAACCATATAAAAGTAAAGTGCAGGATGAGCACTGGGTGTTGTATGGAAACCAATTTGACAATAAATTCCATATATTGGGGAAAAAAAAAGTAAAGTGCAGACATAACATTTCACCATTAAAAACATCAGCATGTATTTCCTAAGAACATGGATATTCTTTTACATAACTTCAATACTATAATCCCACCTAAGAAATCTGACATTGATAAAATATTAATCTAATATACAGTCCATGTTCAAATTTTCCACTCTCTTCTTTTTTCCTCGCTATAGTTCTTTTTTAAAAATTTTTTTAAATGTTTATTTTTGAGAGAGAGAGAGAGACAGAGACAGAGCATGAGCAGGGGAGGGCAGAGAGAGAGGGAGACACAGAATCCGAAGTAGGCTCCAGACTTTGAGCTGTCAGCCCAGAGCCTGACGTGGGGCTCAAACTCATGAACTGTGAGATGATGATTTGAGCCGAAGTCGGGATACTTGACCCTGAGCCACCCAGGCACCCCTCTCTATAGCGCTTCTATTTTAATCTAGAATTCAATTAAAATCATATCTCTTTATCATGTCTCCTTACTCTTTAAATCTAGAACATCTCCTGGCCTTTTAAAACTTTCATACGTCGGGGTGCCTGGGTGGCTCAGTCGGTTAAGCGTCCGACTTTAGCTCAGGTCATGATCTCACGGTCCGTGAGTTCGAGCCCCGCGTCGGGCTCTGGGCTGATGATGGCCCAGAGCCTGGAGCCTGCTTCCGATTCTGTGTCTCCCTCTCTCTCTGACCCTCCCCCGTTCATGCTCTGCCTCTCTCTGTCTCAAAAATAAATAAACGTTAAAAAAAAATTCTTTTTTTAAAAATAAAAATAAAAAAAGATAAAACTTTCATACATCAATGAACTTACCATATTTATATATATCAAATATTATATTTATTATTTTTGTAGAGTCTAGGCTGGTTGATAAAACACACCAAATCTAGATTATAAACAGCACTGACAGTTACCCTCTTGTGCATATCTCTTACATGAGTAAGAGTTTCCCTACAGGTTCACAGGCCATACAAATATTCACCCTCACATGATAATGTAAGTTATTTTCTGAAGTGTTTTAATAATTTATATTTTCATCAACAGTTTCAGATACAGAGTCTTTAATAAATCTTGTCAGATTTCATATTTTTTTGCCATTGTCAAATTTAATTTCTGTCACATAAGTAGGTATAAAATGGTATTTCACTATGGTCTTAATTTGAATTTCCCTGATTACCAATGAAGTTAAACATCTTTTAGATTCATGCTGGGATTTATGTTTTCTTTTCTGTGAAATGACTGGCCATGCCTTTACCCTTTCGTTTTCTATTAGGTTGTCTTTTTTTTTTTTTAATTAATTTGTGATTCCTTACATCTCTTGGATGTATATTATAAATATCTTCTAGTTTGTAGCTTAGCTTTTTTCTGTCAGGTATCTTTTGGTGAACAGATACTCTTAATCTTAAGGCATGTGAATTTATCCATCTTTTATTTTATGGTTAGCATGTTTTGTTTCTTATGTAAGAAACTTTTTCCTACTTGAAGTAATGAAGATATTCCCCTGCATTTTTTTTTCCTAAAGGTTTAAAAGTTTTGGCTTCCACATTTAAGTCTAAATTCATCTAGAAATGATTTTACTTGATGGTGTGAGGTAGGGCTTCCAATTTCACTTTTTTCTATATGTATAACCATAACCATAATGATGCCTCAGATCATTAATTAGATAGACCTTCTTTTCTCCAGGGATCTTTAATGGCATCTCTGTTATTTATTAAGTCTTTGTATATGCACGCATTTATTTTAAAGTTCTATATCCTGTTCAATTGGTTTCTTGATTTACCTCTACCAACACCACATTGTCTTTATTACAACACAGTTAAAATCAGTCCTGATACTGGAAGATAAGTCTTTTCCACCTTGCTCTTCAGATCTGTTGTTGTTATTCTTGGTCCACTGCCCATCCACATAAAATTTAGGATCAACTGGTAAAGTCCCACAACAAATCCTGTTAGGATTTTATTTGAATTACATTGAACCTACAGATCAATTTAGGAATAACTGACATATTTACAATATTGATTCTTCTCATTCCAAAATATAGTATATATTTTCCATTTAATTATATCATTTTAAATTTTGTTTACATAAAATTTTTTTTCTGTATACAGAAATCATCCACATTTGCGAGGCTTGTTCCTATGTACTATATGGTTTTTGTTACTTTTGTATACAGTATATTTTAAGTATTTTGAACTCTATATTCCTGGAGTGCAGTATGCAATTCACTTTTAACAGCTTTATTGAGTTACAATTAATTTTTGTATGTTTATCTTAATATCAACTATCTTGTTGAAATTTTTATTACATCTAGTAATTTTCTATAGATTCTTCAGAGTTTTCTTTGTATATAATTGTATCATATGAAATTCTGAGTCTATCTCCTTCTAATCTTTACATCTTTACCTTTCCTTGGCTAAGGGCCTCTAATATAATGCTGAACAGAAGCAGCAATAATGGGCAGCCTTTCTTCTTATTGAGTTTAACATAAATGTGTCTAACATTTCACTATTAGGGATATTTACTGTAGGCGTCTAGAATTTTTATCAGGTTAAGTTAGAATATAAAGGAACTAATCTCATAGAGACAGAACAATACCAATTCTCTGATATTGTCAAGGCCTGCTTAATGGCCCAACATGTTGTCAAAAAAGGTTCCACATATACTTTGAAAAAATATATTATTTTATTTTTTAGTGTCTTCTTTAAGTATTGAGCTGTAAGTTCATAAAATCAGATATGCTTAGTAATTTTGCTTGTCCTATCATCAAATGCATGAGCAGTGAGCAATTCTCTCACTTTGATGGAGTATTTGTCAACTCCTCACTGTAATCACATTAATTTTGCTTTATACATTTTAAGGTTAATTTATTTCATGTGCATGAGTTTAAAATCTTAGTGATTTGAAACTTTTGTCATTAAAAAGTATCTGTATCCCTGATAATACTTTTTGCCTTACCATCTATTGTCTCACATTAATATGACTTATCTTTCTTTAATAAGTATTTGTCTAATAAATCTTTTCTCATTTTTTTTTCAATGTTTATTTATTTTTGGGACAGAGAGAGACAGAGCATGAACGGGGGAGGGGCAGAGAGAGAGGGAGACACAGAATCGGAAGCAGGCTCCAGGCTCTGAGCCATCAGCCCAGAGCCCGACGCGGGGCTCGAACTCACGGAGCGCGAGATCGTGACCTGGCTGAAGTCGGACGCTTAACCGACTGCGCCACCCAGGCGCCCCTCTTTTCTCATTTTTAATTACAACCTTCCATATCCTTTTGTTTTAGGTATGTATTTTGAAGCAGCAGAAAGTTCTTTTAAAAACCAATCTGAAAATCTGTTTGGTAGGCAAGTTTAGACTGCTACCCTTATTTTGATTATGAATGTTTCTACCATTTTACTTTTTGATTTCTAGCTCCCTCACACATACATAGGTTTTTTTATATATGTGGAATATATATAAACACTGATTTTCACATGTACATATGTTTTTGTATATATACATATGAATGTATGTGTGTGAGCATATATGTGTGTGTGCATGTGTATGTATGTATGGCACATATATCTGGCATTAGATGAGTTTGGTTTTAATTTTTTTGTTCTTCTGGTTTGGAATTCACACATCCTAATTCTTTTATCCTTTGCTCTTGAAATTTTACTATCATCTTTAACTTAAGTTCTGAAGTAAGATAATACTTTAAAGAGTAAAGAGGACATTAGAAAGCTGACCATCTCCCTCTGATTTATAAGCTATTATTGGCTAGTTCTTTAATACAGTCTTTTTGTAAAAGGTAAAAAAGAATTATTATTTTATATAGACAGTGTTTGTTTAGATTTACCTGTTTAGGATTTTCTTTAACCACTGCTTCTTATATTTCAGATCATTTTTTTCTGAATTATTTCCTTTCGTCCTGAAGTTTACCCTTTAAAAAGTCCTTTACTGTAAGTCTATCTAGCAGTAAACCCTCTTCACTTTTGTTTATCTGAAAATATTCTAAATTTCAAGAATAGACATTGTATGCTAGATACACAATACAATTCGAGGTTGAAATTTACTTTCTGTCAGAAGTTTAAAGCTATTATTCTAGTGTCTTCTGGCTTCCAATATTACTACTGAGAAATATGCTGGCCCAAAGCTTAGTTTTCTACTGCAGCCTTTGGCATCTGTCTTCAGGTCAACCTGAACCCCTACTGAGTACCTACTATTATTGTTCCCATCTCTGGTTTGAATCATAGTTTGTTCCTTTTGGGGGGAGTGTGTCCCATTTCCTCAAAGTCTAGAAACACATCAACAAGTTTTTTGTTTTTTTTTTTTTTAAATCTAGGATCTAGTTAGTTTGAGGTAGAAGGGGCCCCCAGAGTATCTAGTTTGCCCTCCAGCTGAAAGCAACACAGTTTTGTTGTTGTTGTCGTTGTTGTTTTACTGCAAGACGTCCAAGTTTTTAACAACCTAGCCTAAATTAAAATCATTGAAAAGGGGATATGACATCTAGTGCTGCCTAAACTTATTTGACCACGGCTTCTACAGAACTAATCTACAAAACAGAATTTGAAAAAAGTCCTGCTCTATAGCTTCTTTAAAATTCTTTTTGCCTTGTGGCTCCTGGATGGCTCAGTCGTTTAAGCTTCTGACTTCAGCTCGGGTCACAATCTCATGGTTTGTGGGTTAGAGTCCAGCATCCAGCTCTGTGCTGACAGCTCAGAGCCTGGAGCCTGCTTCAGATTCTGTGTCTCCCTCTCCTTTTGCCCTTCCCCTGCTCATTCTCTGTCTTTCAAAAATGAATCAACTGTAGAAAAATAAATAAATAAAATAAAATTCTTTTTGCCTCAATACAGGAAAGAAGAAAATTCAAACAAAGAACTATCTTCAATACTTCTACCCAAACTAACCCACACTGAGGCTAAAACAATAATAATAATAATCAGCTTATACAATGTGCCAGACTGGGTGAGACATAAGACATGTATTTAAAAAATAATAATGATAATATATAATCTCTGTCTTCAAGGTGTTCAGAGACAAGAGAACTAAGTAAAATACATTTTGGCAAATGCTCCACTAGCAATTTGAACTAGTTTCTCAGTAAATGTCTACGACAAACTGTCTTTGTTTCTTTTTAGAATGCATATACACTTAAATGTATCTGGTTTGATAATTGTGGGTTAACCGGGCACCTCTAAACAATGAAAATTAGAAACCTAGGGGCGCCTGGGTGGCGCAGTCGGTTAAGCGTCCGACTTCAGCCAGGTCACGATCTCGCGGTCCGGGAGTTCAAGCCCCGCGTCAGGCTCTGGGCTGATGGCTCAGAGCCTGGAGCCTGTTTCCGATTCTGTGTCTCCCTCTCTCTCTGCCCCTCCCCCGTTCATGCTCTGTCTCTCTCTGTCCCAAAAATAAATAAACGTTGAAAAAAAAAAAAAAAGAAAATTGGAAACCTAGGTGCTATAACTAGGGCTCAGAAACAACGTACCATATTATGCCCACTTTGGGCTATAAACTAAACCACTATAGTTTTTTTCAACTAATTGTTGCCAAATCTATTATTCCAATTTTCAGAAATTCACACTATTCTGTGCCTAGAAATACTAAAACTGTTTCTTTGAAGTCAGAAATCTCTCTACTTTTTAGAAGTTCACTTAATTTTTTTTACCTTAAATTGTGGTAATCTCATAGAATTCAATAGTTCCAATTTTCTATATAATTTTATGTATATAATTACCAATGAAAAATATATTTACAGATACCAAATTAAATGAAGAATTGACTTTATCATTTTCCATTATGCAGATTTAAAATCTATACTAGCCTTTTCTAGTGGACAAAATTTCTAATAGCTGATGGATTCTTCTCACAAAGAACAGTTCCCAAGGAATTTAGCACCCACTACTATCATTACTATGTGGCTAGATGTTTAGCTGTGAAGTCCCTAATTTTTTAACTCCTTACCACAGGGCAAGTTGCGGTGAACAGGCAGATTTTCATCATAAAATCATGAGCTATTCCCCCTAAAATTCTGAACTTTCTTGTATTTCACTTTTCTCTCCTTGCTATTGCCCACTCCCAATCATACACAGCTGAAGACAGGGATTCGAACTTTGGATCACTTAGAATGTATAAAAAGAAAGGTATGATGATTCATAAAATATTAACTAATCAACAAATTAATTAACAAATATATATAGAGAGAGATCCATTCTTGTAGTATTCAAAGACATATTTTTAAAATCAGAAATTTTCGGGGTGCCTGAGTGGCTCAGTCGGTTAAGCGTCCGACTTCAGCCAGGTCACGATCTCACGGTCCGTGAGTTTGAGCCCCGCGTTGGGCTCTGGGCTGATGGCTCAGAGCCTGGAGCCTGCTTCCGATTCTGTGTCTCCCTCTCTCTCTGCCCCTCCCCCGTTCGTGCTCTGTCTCTCTCTGTCTCAAAAATAAATAAACGTTAAAATAAATAAATAAATTTTAAAAAATAAAATCAGAAATTTTCTATAAAAGTAGCAGATATTTGTTGCATTGTTGTTTTAATTATATAGCATAATTGCCCAGTGCCAGTACAGTTGCAGAAAATTAGGTCTTGATGGGCATTGCCAATAACAGTATAAATGAAAATAGTTTAGCAATATAATCAATATTTTTTAAACTGGATTCTTTAACCTAATATTTGCATTGCAGGGATTCCATCTACAGAAATAATTTAAAAAGCAAAGTTTTCACACAAAGATGTAATTGAGAATGTCCTTTCTTAAATTGCAAAAGTAAAAAAAAATACAAAAGTACAAGAAGAAAAAAGAAAATTATATATTACATCATATCCATTCAATAACATGTTGCCATTATGATGATACTTACATTGATTATATAATAATACCATGAATTATGATAAGTGGTGGAAACAAGACATAAGACATGCTAAAAGATTACAAGATTATTATTTTAAAGAAACTGAAAAGAAATATGGCAAATATGAAAAGAAGAATAAGGGATATTTGCTCTTAGTTTTTGTTGTAAGGAATTCTCAAAAAAATTTCCACTGAAAGAACTTATCATTTCTGAAAATTAGAAGTTTCAGGTAATAAAAGGTTTACTAATCCGTTGCCCACCACTTATTTTTCTTATGTTCCTCATTATGTTCTCTATGATATTCCCCATCGTCCCTTTTTCCTTCCACCTTTCCCAAAACCAAAGTAATAAAACTTTTATCACTCTTTTTGTTATCATGAAAAGACACATTCCTCCTATAACTATTCAGGTGGTTAACTTCTAAAACAATAAAGAAAATAGGTAAGTTTTACCTTATTTCCTTCTTCTTTGAATTGGGGATTAATTATTTTTACAAAAGAATAAAACAACTGACGAATTCTGGAATCTCCAATAAATGCAATATGTTTATCTACAAGACAGTTCTTTGCTTCACTGAAATCAACAAAGAAACATTAATTGCAATAAGTAAAATCAGCATGTTGGCATTTCAAAGCACAGTTTGTGAAGAAAGTAGTGCAGGATTATTCTACATATAGTTCACGTTGCTTTAGAAATAGGTGGCTAGGTTTGTTTAATCAACCAGCCCATGGATGATCAACTAACTCTCAATACTTACAGCCCCCGTTTATTAAGTGTTTAATATGTACTCTAAGTATATTAAGTGCTTTATATCCATTATCTCAGAATAACTCGACACGGTAGCTATCCAGGTCCTAAAGCTAGAGTCCTTCTCTCAAGGGCTATTTATTGCCTTGGGCCTGATTATCTCTCACCTGAGATAAAGAAGCTTGGACAAAATTCTTCCCCTAATGCTTTTGGCAGGAATCTTCATTTGGACTCACCCCCACCCCCACACTCTGTTGGCAATTCTCTACCATCATATAGAGAAGTACCATGTAGTATTTCCTTTGCTTCAACAACCTTTCTCCACTCGTTATTAAAACCTATCCTAGAGAGGTGGCAAGTGGCCCAGTCAGTTAAGCGTCTGACTCTTGATTTCGGCTCAGGTCATGATCTCATGGTTCATGAGTTTGAGTCCCATGTCTGGGTCTGCACTAACAGCCTTGAGCCTGGAGCCCGCTTCAGATTCTGTTATCTCCCTCACTCTTTGCCCCTCCTCCACTCATGCATGTGCTCTTTCTCTCTCAAAAATAAATAAATAAACATTAAAAAAAAAAAAGACCTATCTGAGAAAAGAAAAAAACAATGAAATAAGAAAACTTACCTGATTTTGTATTTATGCATCATGCAACTGTGAGGTTGCCAAACTTTCTCTCCAAGAAATCTGCCACTTGAGAGAAGGTATTCACATGAATCATTGCCTGTAACAGTTAAACAAACAATATTGTAAACAATAGTTATATTTTTATACATTGATTATCTGACCCCATGTAAGCTCTCTGAGATCAGAAAGCATAGTTTTCTATGCTTCACTGTACCTTCTCGGTACATTATTTATATATCCCTGAGAAGCATAGTAAATATTAATACATTAATATTCAGGAGGAGAAGAACCACTAATGACAGATACCTCACTATAGAAGATAGAAGAGACTCCTAACTCTCAAATGCTACATTCACTGCTGTGGCAGTGCCTTCTGCTTCAGGTTCTCTTTCTAGGGACATCATCTCAACCTCAAACTAGCCCTTAAACCTGCTTACCACTCCTAGTTGGGAAAGAAGAGTTTAAGGAATAAGAGAGAAGACTTTGGAAATGTCTTCCTATTCAACTATTACAACGTATGGTGCATTTGCACATCTGGAAATACAGTAATTAAAATATTTTTTAAACCAACTCCCTGATTTTCACGACTTTCCTGTGAGGAAGTATGCTATCCCTATTCTGTAAATGTGGAAACAGAGAAAAGGATTTATTCAAGAACTTCTTATTGAGGTCACTAAAACTTCATCCTTTTATAATTTACAAAGTAACATAAAACTATTTTAGCTACATGGTGGCTGAAGGTACATAGGATCAGTATCAACAACAAATGCAGATTTTAGTTTTTAATATTCAGCCTGTCTACCTCGCTTAACGTTCTCCCCTTCTTTTCCGTTGACCAACCAGCTCCTCCCAGATTGGTTGGGACTATCACAGTTTCACACCGAAAGTTCCACATCTGGGAAACCCTCAGTCCTATGTAAGTGGGGAGGTGGTCACCCTATTTCCCATGGCCATTTGATCATACACTAACTGAAATGACTAAAGGAGTTTAAAAGGGAGTTGGAAACATTAAAAAAGTCCAAATATGTCAAATGGATAAGGGAAAAAATGAGACATTTAGAATAATATAATCAAATCACATACTATTTAAATTAATCTCTGGTTCTTTATGAAGAGTCATCAGCAAGCTCTATTTGTTTCACAGACCGTTAAGGTCAGGATAACGAAACTCTACAGAACAAAAATGATACTGAATCACTCAGGGTGGGGAAAGAGAAAACCCAAAGATATTTAAAGTGGAAGAACACATCTTTTTTCTCAGTCTGGTTATCCATTTATCTGGTCAATATACAGATAAAAGGTGATACAAATACAAGACAGGTATGCATAAATAATGAAAGTGTTGTTATTTCAGTGTCATAAATTCTAAAATAGAGCAGGAAGGGAAAGTGAAAATACTGCATTGTAGTGTTGGTAGAAAACTGGATAAGGAAAGCAGAATATCAATTATTAAAATTTTGCAATATACATATTTTGCAATTTTGTATATGTAGGCTGCGCAGGTTTTTTGTTTTGTATTTCAAAATTTTTTTAATAACCTCTCTAAGGAAACTATAAATAATCAGTTCTTAATTTTTTCCAATTATTAAAAACTAATTCTAGTTCTCAAAAACAAAATTAAGCTACATAAATAATCAAGAAGGAGTAAAGAAAAGACTATAGGAACACACAATTAAGTTATTTTTCTAAAAACATCCATCTGGGCGCATCTGGGTGGTTAGTCAGTTGAGAATCCAACTCTTGATTTCGGCTCAGGTCATGGTCCCAGGGCTGTGGGATGGAGCCCTGTGTGGGGCTCCAATCTGAGAGTGGAGCCTGATTGGGATTCTCTCTCCCTCTGCCCCTCTCTCCCAGGTTGCGCTCTCTCTCTCTCTCTCTCTCTCTCTCTCTCTCTAAAATAATAAAACAAACAAAAAAATCCTTCTGCTATATTCTTTTATAATGGTTCTACAGTAAAATACTATTAAAAATCTAGTAAAGGGGTGCCTAGGTAGCTCAGTGCAAGGTTGGGTGTCCAACTCTTGATTTTGGCTCAGGTCATGATTTCACAGTCTGTGGGATCGAGCCCCGTGACGGGCTCTGAGCTGACAGTGTGGAGACTGCTTGGGATTCTCTCCCTCTCTCTGCCTCTGTACCCTGCTCTCTCAAAATAAATAAACTTAAAAAAAAAATCTAGTAAATGTTTAAAATTAGAATGGAAATTCCATATTTACAACATTTCTACCTCTTTAAATTTTTATAAACTAAGTAAAAAGTTAGTATCATCTATTTTCTAAAAAAGTTATAAAAAGTTGCAAATAACTCGGTATTAATTCTGTGCACTTTTTCTTCCCTTTCTTTCTCCCTTCCTTTTTTTTTTTTTTTGTTGTTGTTGTTATTTGATTTTTGTTTGTTAATAGAACTTTAAACAGAAACACGCCCTGGCCAATCTACGGTATGTGGGATTGTTATTGTTAACCGTCTATATGAATTATCAACATAGTTTTGTGGAGATGGAAGTACCAGACCAAAACATCTTAAAATAACCAGTCTTTCTCCACCAGAAAATGTGTTTTAAAATACAAAGTTCTTTTCTTCCTCGATACTACTACTCACACATTGTTTTTCAGTAGTTCAGCCAGTGGGAAATAACAGCTCTCAACTGATGAACCCAAATTAGAAAACAAAAAAACAAAAAACAAAAACAAAAAAACAGCAAAACAGATTTGAAGCTGTCACTAACCAAAAGACACTATAAACATAGTTCTCTAGAGACTACTAGTCTTTCCAGGAAAGAAAGTTCTAATTTGCTAACGAATGCTAGTTGGTGATAACTCTTCTTAATATATTTTATGATGCAAAATTTTTTTTTTTAGTAATCCTTGTGTCTGACATTAATACTCTATCATATCAGTTAAGGCTCAGTCAGAAGACAGAAACTGCACCGCTATTTTAATAGAGAGACTCTAATATAAAGAATTATAGAAAAGCAAAAGAACCAACCAGGCAACTGAAAAGGCAAGAGACTTTTTTTTATACTTGTCAGAAAAATAATAAAAATACTGGTGATAATAACTACTATTATCATCTGAAAATAAATTAACCTAATTTAGAAAAGGAAACTCCCACAAAATTCCACACTCAAACACAAGTTCTCTTTTACTGAGAAGGAAATACTTTTGGATCAAATCACTAAATGTAATCTAGATGTTAAAATAAGTTAACATGCCACATCTTCATTATGCATACTAAGTATATGTAAATATCTGCTGGCACATACTTCCCCGTCAAAATTGACCCAGAAAAAACCCCAAACAAAAGAAAACAAAAAATCCCAGTCATTATTTTCAATTGCCTCATATAATTTTGATAGCTGCTTTAAAACAACCAGTGTGAGATGCAAGTTGCCAAGTGCTCAGATAAATCAAGCTAGGAACACAGTAAAAACAAACAAAAAACAAACAAACAAAAACAACTAAAGGGAAAGAATTATCTACTTCAGCTATCTCCAATACTAGATTATCTAGATGAATGGCTGTGTCTTCCTCTTCATTCTATTACCTTAACATAAGCATTCTGGTTTGTCAATCTAAAGTCTTGGGTTTTTATACACGATTTTTCTGTTAGAAAGATACTAAAAGCAAACAAAATAAGTAAAAAGACAAATTTTAAAAAAGCCGAAAAACAAATGTAACTGCTAAAGAAAATATCTAACGTGCTAAATAAACTGTAGCTTATATTTTCCTTTGAATAGAATATCTCTGGCACACTGCACCTTTAGACTGGCTGAATCATCCTACCAAAGCTATCTGTTTATTACTACCAACCATGAAAATATTAGATCATCAAGTTTTTAATATGATTTGTAAAATATTCTGTTTGCCTAAAATTCAGCAAGGTTACACTTTGGTCTGTGCTAAAAAATCACCGTTTACATTTTTCTTTTGACAAACTAGGAATGCCTACATTACAAGTGGCATCTTATAGATCAGGATCTTTCTGGCAAAGAAAGAAAAGGCTAAGAGACCTAGAGTTGCTTCTTTCTTAAAATTCGGAAGCTTTGAACTCACTTTTCTCCAAAACATGCAATAATACTTAATACTTGCATTTAATAGGCCTGGTGACAGAAAGGAATTAGATTTCAACAAACTTAAAGCATTTGAGACAAGTTTACTTTATCAATTAAAAAATTAAAAATTGCCCAGATTGGAATTACCCTTAAGGCTATTGATACTGGCCTCTTGTCACAGAAATGATGTTTTTAATCTGTAATCACAATAGAAATGGACATTTCGTGATTTAGTAACTTTAGAAATTGAGAATATTTAAAAAATATATAGTTAATAGGGTTATTTTTTAAAATGTTTCTATATTTTATATACAAATATTAATAATGAAAAAAACCCCTCTATTTTGTAAAGTTGAGATCAGAACATGCTATTAGAACATGAAATTCAGGGGCGCCTGGGTGGCGCAGTCGGTTAAGCGTCCGACTTCAGCCAGGTCACGATCTCGCGGTCCGTGAGTCGAGCCCTGCGTCGGGCTCTGGGCTGATGGCTCAGAGCCTGGAGCCTGTTTCCGATTCTGTGTCTCCCTCTCTCTCTGCCCCTCCCCCGTTCATGCTCTGTCTCTCTCTGTCCCAAAAATAAAAATAAACGTTGAAAAAAAAATTAAAAAAAAAAAAAAAAAAAGAACATGAAATTCAATTACAGCCAAAAGAACCAGGGGCCCCTGGGTGGCTCAGTCGGTTGAGCGCCCAACTGCAGCTCAGGTCATGATCTCACGGTTCGTGAGTTCGAGCCCCACGTCGGGCTCTGTGTTGCCAGCTCAGAGCCTGGAGCTTGCTTTGGATTCTGTGTTTCCCTCTCTACCTCTTCCCTGCTCACATTTTGTCTTGCTCTCTTTCAAAAAGAAATAAAAACATTTAAAATAAAAAAAAATAATAAAAAAACAAAAGAACCAAATGAAAGGAGAAAAATAGGACTTCAAAAAATAAGAAAAATAAGGACTTCGAAAATCTATTTATCCAGTTATTGTTTATGGAGTTTCTAATGTGTGTTAAGCTCTGATGATTTATTTTTTTTTTCAACGTTTTTTATTTATTTTTGGGACAGAGAGAGACAGAGCATGAACGGGGGAGGGGCAGAGAGAGAGGGAGACACAGAATCGGAAACAGGCTCCAGGCTCCGAGCCATCAGCCCAGAGCCTGACGCGGGGCTCGAACTCACAGACCGCGAGATCGTGACCTGGCTGAAGTCGGACGCCTAACCGACTGCGCCACCCAGGCGCCCCGTAGCTCTGATGATTTAAAGATGAATAAAATACCCTTGGAGGCTTATAGTTTGTGTGGGGGAGATGGATACAAATTATTACAATATAACATAAGTATGTACTAACTGCTATAGAAACACTGAATTCTTAATTCTTACTTCTGTGGTGGTGACATTTGAACCAGACCCTAAAAGAATAATACGTACTGTTTTAAGGAGGGGGGTCACTGCAAGCAGAGAAAAAGGGAAAAGCATATTTAGACTGTGAGCCTGAAGTTTAGAAGAAGGAAGAAGATAAACATAGGTAATAAAAAGTAAGCTGGTCAGATTCTGAAGTTGTACACATGCAACTTTCAGAAAATTATTTTCCTGGAAAAAGAAGGGGAAAACTCTTGGCTGGTACCGTGAGGCTGAGTTAGTGTTTCTAAATGATTTAACCCATTTCCCTCTTGAAAATGCTTTCTCACTCCATCTTCTATACATCACCACTGCCTAAGAAGCTCTGAGAAAGGCAGTCTATAACCTAATGGCATGAGGCAGACGAACTAACTGGGTTGTAAATCCTAGCTCAGTCACTGACTAATTGTGTGTCCTTAGGCAACTTAACCCCTCATGCCTCATCTTTACAATGTAAATAATACTGTAATTCGCTGGATCTAAGACCACTGATTATAATATAGACACATCATTATTTTATGTAACACTAGAAAAATGCTATCAATTAAACTTTGACCTGCAACAAAGTTTTAAAAATTCATCCTGATTACAGAGATGTCAAAAATGGGGGGTGGGGGTGGGGGTGGAATGATATATGATAATTTATCTACTTCATAGAATGGCTGGAAGAACAAAAGAAGATCAAACATGTAAAACCCTTAGTAGAACAGCGATTGACATAACAAGTGCTCAATGTTATCATGTGGTGTTTGCCAAGCTTTACTTTCTGTTGTATAAAATGCTTTCTTTACTTCCTATAGTTTGTATATGTATATTCAAACTGTATTCACTCTGCCTTGCCTGAGGCATACTCATACCCACACAGTGCACTTTTTAATATAAAGCCTAAACCTCTGTATCTAATATAAGGTCCTTACTTATTTTAAAGATTTATGATATTGTGATTCAAGCGTAGGGTCATCTTTGTGTGAAGGGCGCTACATTTCACTCAGTTTGACACTGCCAAAGCATGAGGATGTCTAAAAACTTCCTGGTATGATCATTATTCTTCCCAAACAGTCTCTGGCTCAAGTTCTTGACATGCAGTCTGGGCAAGTACACACACCAGGTGTACTGCTTCACACTCAAGGCACTGAAGCACCTACAGAAGCTGATGACTAGCTTCTGGAGGAGGCTTTATAAACAACCCCAGATTGCTGCACTGACTCATAAGGTTCCATCTGACATTCTATTTTCCCTTCTGATGACAGATTTTGAAAGGATGAAATATATAATCTAAATATAATAATCATCCAAGCTTATCAAAAGATAAAAGCACAATATAAAAAAAGGGAGGGGGGACTAGATGTTTACTTTTCACACTACAGCATCAGTTACAACATTTACCTTCACCACCATCACAGAGACAAAATCGAGTTAGAGTACTGTCATCTTATAGACAAGATCGAGTTAGATTACTGTCGTCTTATACCAAACTAACATAAAATGATTAATAGTAGTTAAAATTTTTTCTTCGAAATGACCACCAATTAATGCGTCGACACTATGAAACATTAGTTTTATTTTGTACATCAAAGTGTGTGACTTCTGTTACAGCCACTGCAGATGAACCAAAGCCCGGCCAGATCACATGGCTGTGATCTATAGGAGGCTGAAGGGAAAAGGCCAAAGGGTATAAAGAATTTGTCTTTTAAAATCGATTTAGTGCATTCATATAAAGAGCTATTCGTCCATTACGGTACTAGAGTATAAGATTTTTAATCCTCAAGAATTGGAGAACACAAGGCAGCAAAACTGATGAAAATGTCCTACACTTTGAAAGATCTTCTGGGATGAAAACAGAGCTCAGATTCCAGTACCTGGTTTACTGGATTATTTTGCCAAAGTGGTGTGAAGTTAAATGGGAACAGCGTTAAATGTGCACCTGTCCATTACACATTACATCTTGACCAATTAATCTCACAGTCACCAAGAGCTGTCCAGATAATGGTTTCGATAATACTAAGAGCCAAAAATAAGAGATCCTATCATTATTAATTTCCCTCAGCTTGTCAGCCTCTCTCCTAGTGGCATTTTAACACAAAATTAAAAAAAAAAAAATCAATCAACAAGGACAAGTAAATACCCCTTGATTACTGAAAGATAATTCGTTCTGAAATACGGAGGTCATCTTTCCTTTCCCCCTTTACACCAATTTCAAAACCCACATTGAAGGCCTCTTTTCAAACTGCTTCCAACGTTAATTTCCCTGCCCACCTCGACTCCTGTCAAGCCAGAACTTCAAATATCTGCCCCACTGTCTTTAATTTGTAAAAAGTGTGCAATCAGAACCCTCTAAACGTTTCTGAATCACGGAGGCTGGGTGACACCTCCCCCATTTGGCCAAGGGCATCCTTTGCCAGCTGTCGCCCCCGCGGCAGAGGAAAACGGGGCGGCCCTTGCCGCTGTCCCACAACAGCTCGGCTTAGCCCTACAGGGCAGAGGCCGGATTAAACAAAGCCGAAAGGGTCAGACCCCTAGGGCGCAGAAATCGACGACCCCAACTCAGGGCAGAGGTG